AAGGGAGGGGGCACGGGAGACTTAGGGAAGCCAACTACAGTGGTGAGAACGAGGGGAAGGAGGACAAGCCACCACCACGAAGGCAGTGACCACGGAGCCCGATGACTGAGCAGCTACTCGGGGGCTGGGCGTTCGTGTCCACACGTGCGTGAACTCTCTACCCTCACGGCAGCAGCTAAGGTAAGATGGGCTAGTGCTGCTCACCTGTGGTGAGGACGGGGGACTAGGGCTCAGGGAGCTGCCCGCTGCCCCCAGGCCGTACTGCTGGTAAACAAAATCAGTGTGTTGCCGTAGAGCAGTACCGCCACTTTGGGGTCAGTGATCGGCCTCACAGGCTGTCGTCGAGGTGCCAGCTGGGCCACGGTCTTCTCTGGAGGCCTCACCACGCCCACAGCTCATTCCGGCTGTGGGAAGAGTTCACTCCCTGCAGGGCTGGGCTTAGGTTGCAGAACCGAGGGCTTTGGCTTCTTGCTGGTTGTTGGCTGAAGAAGTATCTGCATCTGCACGGTCCCTCAGCATTATTCACAATCGCCAAGATTAGGCAACAATGTAGGAGTCTGTCGGCAGATGAATGGATAAAGAGAATGTAGCTCACACAGAGGAATGAGTCACATTCGGGAAGAAGAGAATTCCGTCACTTGCAACAGCACAGAGGAGCCGGGAGGACGTCGTGCTGAGTGAAGTGCGGCAGGCACAGCAGGGCCCACGCTGCGTGAGGTCATTATAGGTGGGGTCTGGTGGCTGCCAGGGGTGCAGGGGGCGAAATGGGGACATGTTGGTTGCCATTCACTTACATGGGATGAGTCAGTTCTAGAGCAACTGTGTGCCACGGTGACGTTGGCTTTACCCTTGCGAAGGGAGCTGATGCCGAGCGTCCTCACCACACACCGGTTGTAACTGGGGGGCAGTGTGTGAACGAGCCTACCTGTGGTGATGGTGTCACAGCTGCACGCTGAGTGTTTCCGTTCCCTGCGCCCCGTTTTCTAGGCTGAAATCCTAATCCGGAGGGTGATGGTACGAGGAGGCGGGGCCTCTAGAGGTGACAGGTCATGAGGACGGTGCCCCCAGGAACAGTGTTAGTGCCCTAATGAAGGAGGTCAGGGAGAGAGAGCGCACACTGTGCACCAGGACACAGGCCCTCACCAGACACGACTGCATCTGCCGGCACCACGAGCCTTCACAACTGGGACAGAAACTTCTGTCGTTTATAAACAGTCTGCTACTTTGTTCAAGTGGCCCAAATGGACAGAGCTGTATCTTAAAAATATACAATCTTACTCGTCCACTCTACCTCAATAAGTAGGAAAAGACAAAAAATACACCGAACATTTAAAAATCTTACGTGAAAAATATAAAAGCCCTTCAGCCAAAACAATAAAACAGTGAGGACAATAGAAATCTAAGTAAACTGAAAAATACACTGGGTTTTCACAGATCAGAAGACTACATTTTACAAAGATGTTAATTTACTTCAAATAGTTATATAATTTCAAGAAAACCCCACTCAAAGCTGTAATTGTGTGTGTGTGTGTGTGTGTGTGTGTGTGTGTGAGTTGGTAAGCTGGCTGTGAAATGTATTTGGAAATGTTGAAAATGGAATGATACAAGAACATTTAACACATTCTTGAGAAAGAACAAGGTAAGGACTTCCTCTACCACGTATCAGTTACTGAAGTAACTACGACACCTCAGCATTGGGGGAATGGAAGGGGCAGAGAGGCTGATAAAACCATGCAGACCCTGGAATAAATGCAAACACACAAGGCAGCCGATTTCCTGGGGAGACAGCACCGAGGGCAGAAAGACAAAGGGCTTAGCTTTCCGGTAACCGCTGCACGGACACTCGGCAGGTGGCGGAATGAAACTTGACCTCTGCCTCACACTACACACAAACGTCTACTTTAGAGATATTTCAGAGCTAAATTTAAAAAGCAAGACAGTGAAGTATTTCAAAGATAACACAAATATATTAACTAACTTGGAATAAAAATAGAGTTCTTCTGGAGGTCACATAAAAGCATCAACCACAATTAAGAACGTCTCTTCAATAAGCAACGCAGTCAGGGTGTCACAATATCACGGATCGAGAAGTCATATCCAGAATATGAAAAGGGTATCTACAAAGGCATTTTGTAAACGTACAAATCAAATGGACCATAAGAATATGAAAAGGAACTCAACTCCACTAATAACCAGAGAATGAAATGAAAAACAGTAAAAAAAAAACAGACCCACGAAAATGGCCAAAGTTAAAAAGACCAAAACAAACACCAGTAGACCAGATAAGCACCCCCAGGGAGCCTTTGGCTGGTTCTTTTGCACATTACCTTCTTTTCACGGCAGCGTTGGTATTTTCTGGAACATGCCCCTTAGCCGCCTGGGAGAAAGCCAACACTCATTAAGTGCCCCAAAGCCTGTGTCCAAATGCACAAAAACACTGCATTAGGAAACAGCTTCATTCATACTGACCATTCATTAATGCCCAAAGATTATCCCAACAGAATCTGTCTAAAACTGTATTTTCTGGTTGGAAATGCTTTGGTTTTGTTACTTCTGTGAAGGAGTCTCCTGGAGTATTTCACTCCGGGTTGCAGAGTATCTGGAAAGATGGCTAAGAAATGACTTCGCTCTTACCTTTTTGAGGACAGTTCCACTGTGGTGTGGCGCCACCTGGCGGCTGCAATGTAATTCTACCACCTTTTTTAGCCCCAGCTGTTTCTTCCGAGGAAAAAGGCTCTCTGCTCTGAGCAACAGCCACCAACCACTCCACACGAAGGGCAGTGAGCGCTTGCATCCCAGTCATCAGCGTAGACCCAAGTGGTCCCTCACAGCGAGACGAGGTGCCTTTTCACGTTCCCTGGACAGGGTCCCCTCTTCCACGGTTCTTTAGGTCTTTTGCACACTTCTTCTAACAGGTGCTGTTTCTTTTGGCATATACCAGTTTTATTTCATATTTTCTGGCTAAATCTTTCAAAGGGAACACAAATTTCCGGTGTGGACTTCCTCATCTGATCATGATGGAGAAACTGGCCCTTCACCCTTCCGCCTGAAGTTACTAAAGCACCAGACAGAACATATAAAACAAGCCACTGAAGGCACTGGATGCCAGGCACTGCAGGACAGTGACCCTTGAGGACACAAGAAACAGAGGTGAGACCGCCCCCTGTGGGGCGGCGAACAGGCCAGAGTGTGCTCCTCCACGGAGTTCCCGAGAACAGACAAAGAGGGAACAATTTCCAGCTCTTTCCATGAGTCCAGTTTTACATCAACACCAAACCTAACAAGGGCAATACAAAAATGGAATCCACAGACCATCTCTCGAACATGATGTGAAAATCCAAAACAAAACATTGCGAAATGCATCTAGAGATACATACAAATTGCCGGTCATGACCAAGCAGGGTTTGTTCTCGAAAACTGGGAGGTCAAGTGGAGGACGGCAGTGGGCGGGGAGGGGTAACACCAGGAAAGGTAGCAATGAATTCACCGTGCTAACAAAGAAACAATTCCATCATCTCAGCAGAGTCAAGAAAATCATTTGACAAAACCCAGCACTGTAAATCCACTTAGCAAACACCAGTAAGACGACCATCCACAAAAACCCTACAACACTCATCTCGCTCCACGGTGAAACCTGACAGTGTCCCCGAGTCTGGGGACAGGGACAAGCTGCCCGCCAAGCTGACGCTGGGCTGCACTCCGACCTGGGCGGTAACGCAGGAAAGGAAGTGCAAAACCACTAGAAATAAATGAAAGTCACCATGAGCAGAGAATATAAATACACAGGGAAATCCAGCATGTGTCTACAACCTGCTGCAATAAATGAATCGGGCAAGGTTGTTAAATGCAGGGTCATTATAAAACAATCATATTTCAATATTCTAGTGACATAAAAAAGACCCGTAAAAGCCGCTTCACAAAAGAGAGTATCCAAATGGCTGGTATTTGAAAAGATGCTTAGCAGCATTAGTTATCATGGAAATTAAAATTAAAGTCACAGTAAGACATCAGTGCAGAAGTCTGAAATCAGAAAAATGAAGAGCCAGTTTGGCCAAGACGACAGGGGTGTCCCTTCTGTGGCCTCTGGGACGGCCAGTCGCTCCCCTGTTTATGCAGACACTTCCTGCAGGCAGTTGGAGGGGCTTCCCCAGGTAGACTGGTGACTGCCACACCCTTTAATCGTAGGTTCTGGGTCCTCAGACATCAAATACAGTCACGTGTACTAGTTTCCAGGTACGCTGTAACAAATTACCCCAAATATAGGCCTGAAGTCCAAGTCCTGCTGCCAGCAGGTGGCGCTTCCCTGGGGGCTCTAAGGAAGACTCCGCTCCCAGTTCCCGTTCTGGCCCTGCCCGGCCCCCACTCACCTGTGGCTGAGGCTCTCCTAGTCTTCTGTCTTTGTAGTATCCTCCTCCTCCTCCTCAGTCCTCCCATGAGACCACTGGTGATGGGCTTAGGGCCCACCCACATGGCCCAAAGGAATCTCGTCTCAGAATGTTTACATTTGAAAGACCTTTTTTCAAATAGAGTGACATTCCCAAGTTCCAGGGAGTAGAGCCTTACAGTGAGATGTATGAGGGAATATGCAAGTGTGGCTTCTGGAAAAACCTGTTTCGCTAATAAAGACAGACACATTTGTGCCTCTTTCCCTTCGCCCTTCCTTCCTGGAGCCCTGGAGGAGCCCCAGTATAAAATGCCGGATCCTTGAGAGGGACACTGACCACAGGTGGCTTCACAGTGTCCGTCGGCTCTGGAAGGTCTGCCTGAGGTGGTTCTAAGAAAAGAGCAAGTCTAACAGGGTTTAAGCCAGTGTTACTAGGTTTGTAATCAAAAACACTTGTAAAAAACTAAGTATCTTGGTATTTTACAGATACGATAGCCAACTATAATGGGACCATTCCAATGTCACGGAAGACTTAAAAATAGGGCCTCCTCCTTGAGTGACTGGGTATAATTATTTCATCTGCTGCCATAACATTTGCAGTAAAGTGCAGAGAAGGTTAACATAGACTGTTTATTGATTTTACCAAGTATTAGTAGATAGGGGAATAATAAATGTTTTTTACATTCTGTTAACCAAAAATATAACAAATATTTACACTCAGTAAAAATACAAAAAGCGTACAGAGGCACCGTCTTTCTAAAAGACATAAGTTTAAGAGGTATCAAAACCAGGAGGCGGCCTGCTCCTTACAGGACGGCGGGCAGGCGCCAGACTGTGCGGGACAATGGCGGTCAGGTCGCTGGGGCTGCGCAGGGTCGTTTCTCTTGCTGAAATCCACGTTTCGTTTCAAACAACCGACACAACACTGCACACCGGACTGGAAAGGCCCGACTGAGGACGGCGGAAGCTGCAGATGGACCGGGTCCATGTCCACTGTCCGCGACGTCCCGTGACACTCAGGAGATTTGCTTCTCCCCTGTTCCAGCCTTTACGTTAATCCTGAAGGGTATCCCGTGTTGTAGAGATTTAAAACATGTCAGAGCAACAGTCACTGTTTTAAATCCACAAGGAAACTTTCTCCCCTCTTCAGAGGCCGTCACGTTCCGGCCTGGGGGCTGTATAGGTGACAGCCCCCGACTGGTGTCACCCTCCTGAAGAACCGTCTAAGGCCTTTTCCCCCAAAGATCATACTGAAAGTAATCATGTGGAGAAGAATCTTTTCATCACAATAAACTTTATGGAACAGGCACTGGATTCACCGACTCCGCAAACCTTTTGTCACAAAGAGGCTGTGCACGGTGGGTCTGCCGCTTCGACCATCCGGGCGGGTTCAGAGCTGCGGGGGGAATGAGGGTGTGCGCCTCTTTATTAAGAAGTTATAAGTTTACAAAACAAAACAAAAAACAAATGAGGATTTAGAATTGGATTAAAAAAGATTAAGGCTTCTTTTGTTCTCGTCATGGGACAGAGAGGGCAGGCATGCGCCGTAACACACAACAATCAGAACTCCATGATTTTGTAAGGGACACACACTGTCACACTAACACCACCTGGCTTTAGTCCCCGACCGATGTGATCGGCCAAGGCCAGGGCTCACAATTCAAGCCAAGTGAGACAGAGGCGGCTGCAAGGTGCACACCCAGCCCCACAGCCTCCCACTCTGTGCCGAAGTTACTGGCCTAAGGACTGGCCGGGTGAAGGACCTGCAACAGACACAAACCCGCTGGACGCAGTTACTCTGGAGTGGTAGGTATTAGACGGTGAGACTGCGCTCCTAAACCTGACGAAAAGATGGTCACAGCAAAAATCTGTGACCAGAGGTGGCCGTTTCCAGGTCGAAGCCCTACAGTGTGACTTTCAAACCAGGACTTTCGATCTGGGCTCCTTTGGAGACCATGGGCTCATTCTGACGCACCTGGGCTCATTGCTAAGGCTTACGTTTCAGGTTAACATCCCTTTGCCCAGGGCGATTTTTCAGATGTGCTATTTTTCCAAAAGGGAAGAAACAATCGCTTTGATGAAAAAGACAGTCCTGCCGCCTATCACCTGGAGCTGACTTATGATTCTAAGACGCAGGGACAGAGGCAGGGATGCAGCAGCCGGGAAGGAAGTCACGGCCAAGCAAACCCTGCACACTCACACAGGACAGCCACGCAGAAGAAAGACTCTTTTGGCTCCAAGCTGACCTGGGCAGTGCACATTAATGGCTTTGGGTTTTTTTTTTTTTTTTTTGGGGCGGGGGGGAAGTTGGGTGCTCACAGAAGTTTATTAGGCTCTCACTTGCCTTTACACTAAAAAGATACAGAAGACATTATATTTCATTTGTAAAAATGTGGAAAGTCTAGCTTGTCCACTAAACAATCGATGAAATTTTAAATAAATATGTAAGAGTGCCACACCCAACAGTCTGTGTAAAGACACACTTGCTCTCAGGGGCTGGACTGGGAACCGAGAGACGACCATTTCCATGATTCCAGCTCCTCTTCCCCACACAATCTGGACCAACTGTTTGCCTTGGTGAGCGGAGAGCTTTGCTGCAGGCGGCCTCGCTGCCCCGCCGGCCGCAGGACCAGTCGGCCTGGCGCTGCGGGGAGGGGGGAGGGTGTGGCAGAGCACCGCCCGAGGCTAAAGTCATCTTCCTGGTCACACCACAAATGACCTCGCCTCTTTAAAAAAAAGAACTCCGTATGTGAGTTGAGAACATTTTAGTTCTGGGTTTCTACAGGGTAAAACACTCTACAACCCGTTCTGTTTACTGGGTTTATACTTTTAGTTAGATGCAGCATACCTTTCCGTTCAGAAAGAATTGGGGTACATGTTATTTAACATAAGAATTTCATCTTTTGGAAATTATAACTGCCACCTCCCTCTCCCTAAGGACTGAGAAGAATCCCTGTGGCAAGTCCTCTGGCCTCCCAAAGAGGGGCCAGAAGGTGGGACCACTCTGCTCCCCGACACCTCATCCACGGAGGGCCCCTCTGCTGCTCACACTGAGACGCCGCACTGCAGCGGTGCAACGGATCGCTCCGGTTCTGTGCAGGTCACGCATGTCCTTCTGCAAAGACGACTTCCGTCTGGTCAACCAGAGACAGTCTACAGCCTCAAACATAAACATCAACTAATGAGAGCTCCCGAAGACAGACAAAACCTCAACACTTCAAATAATAAGTTACTTTTCAAATACACAGGGACAGCCCTGGTATTGGCAGACATCCCGAATCTGTCCATCAGCCCAAGCTATGGCTGGGAAATGCTACTACTACCTTAAAAATAACCTGTTAAAGGAAAATCTATAGTGATTATTATACATGGGGAGGACCCTTGAGTTTCCATTTGCTCTAGTCACTACAGCCCCAAGGCAGGTTCCGTGGGCAGAGTGAGGACACATCCAGGCACAACACCCACAGCTGAGGACACTGCACTTGCAGGGACTAATGTCAGCAGGCTCGGCATTGCTCCGGGGCTCGCGTCGCTCCAGGGCGCAGGGCTGGAGACCTGCTGGTGAGCGGCAGCAGCCGGCTGTGAGCTGCAATGGCCGGGCTGCACGGGCGGTTCTGCCGGCTCCTCCCTCAGGACTTCCAGCTAGACTGCCGAAACCTGTTCATTCTCTGAAAACAGAAAACGTGCACTTAGCAGCAGATCAGCAGAGTCTCGAGGGCCAACAGTCTAGCTGTTTGTTCCCAATTAGTCACTTTCCGCAAAGAAATCCCCTCAACGACCTGGACAAGGTCCCGGCCTTCTTGCAGTGACATTTATGAATTCGGATCACACTGAAACCTGCTAACAAACTGGAATTTCATAACGTCTTTTTACTTTATTACTCTATTGTTTAATAGGGTAAAAATTTCATTCATTTGTAACAAAGCAAATGGCAGTTGCGAAGTGGAGGGTTTTGCTAATAGCCACAACTGTACCAACAGCACAGTTAGAGAGAAGTCTGCATTGCAGTCCTCCCAGTTTCGGGTTCCCGTGCATCAGTGTGAAACAGGACTCCTGATGTCGAGCGGCTCCTTTCAGAATCATCCCGCCCCTGAGCGCTACGCATGGCAGACAGGACTGCTCCATGTTAGCTGGAGGAAGGGGACCGGGCACCGGATCAAACAGGCTACCCTCTTCCATTTAAAAAACACACCATCATATTTAGGGACTTTTCTTTTAACAGAGATTTCTGAGGCAGTTGAGAAAACATTACTGATTATCTAAAATAGCAGAGTAAAGATGATTAAATTAGTTTAAGAGCCGTTAAGGTAGTTTGTCAACATACCATCTGCTTCGCTGTCTGCGTCAGCCGCGTCTGCTAGTTTGGGATGGGACGGCTGCAGACCCTGCCTCTGAGGCTGCGTCACAATCCTGGACGGAACACAGGCCACGGGCTTGCTACTGAGAGAGGCTGGTGGCAGTCTGCACAGGCTGCTCTGCATCATCTTCGACCTCCGCACTGCCACGCTGTACTCCGGAGGTCTGAGGTGCAGGTGGGGCCCTTCCTTTAGGTCCGCTAAAGAAATCCCCATGTACCCGGGAGGCGTGGGCGGTGGCTCCCTGTACCTGTCCTCCTTCTTGGGGGAGGTGACACAGTACACTGGCATGAAAAATAAGCAATGGACATGTGAATGAGAAGTAGAAGAAATAAAAACATACTGAACCTTATTACAATGACAGAATAAAACAAACACAAATGAATATGCATTATCTCAATATGATAGATTAAATGTTTTTAAAATTAATAAACTTAATGTTTAAACATGCTTTAAAAATATTTAAATTGCATTAGGTTTCCATAAACATTAACTAGAATGAGACGGAGTTGAAGGAGATGACAGATGACAAGACTCCTTCTGCAGGGCAGCCCTCGTTTCCCAGGCCGTGTGACAAACTCTGCAGGGACTACCGGCCCCCAAGATACTGAGTCAGAAACGCTTTAAGAGTCCACCCTGCCCTGGCTGGTGTGACTCAGTGGACTGGGCGCCGGCCTGTGAACCAAAGGGTTGCCAGTTTGATTCCCGGTCTGGGCTCATGCTGGGTTGTGGACCCCAGTAGGTCCCCACAGGGGCTGCACGAGAGGCAACCATACACTGATGTATCTCCCTCCCTTCCTTTCTCTAACAATAAATAAATCTTTTAAAACAAAGAGTCCACCCCAAATATCTATTGTTTGTTGGCTGGATTTTTTCTTTTTAAAAGCTCTCTTTATTTTTAAATCCTAACCGGAGAACATGTTTTTATTGATTTTAGAGAGAGAGGAAGGGAGTGAGGGAGACAGAAAGAGACACACAAAGAAACACCCACCAGCTGCCTTCCTTACGCACCCCAACCGGGGACTGAACCTGCAGCCTGGGTGTGTGCCCTGGCGGGGAATCAAACCCGAACCTTCTGGAGCACTGGGCAACACTCCCAACTGAGCCACCCGGCCAGGGCTGTTGATTAAACTGTCATGGAAATGACTTCTGGGCCCAGAGACAGGAACCGCTGTTCTTGATGCCTCTACTGGGTCATCTGAGTTGTCCGTCCTGGCAGACAAACAGACAAACCGAGTTAACTGCCCTGGGACAGAGCAGCTAATTTGAGCTGATTCCTTTAAGGACCTTCTAACTTTTGCTCTGTGATTAAGTGAAGAAGAAAAAAATCGTAATTTTAGGAAATCCATCCTAAATTAAGTTTCTCTGATTTTACGTGGATGTTAAAAGTAATGGTGACTTAAAATTCTTTTCTCTAAGTTTTAAAACCTGGAACAAAGGCAAAACTTCAAAGCACCACAAAGAGGTTAAAGTAGAAGTTCCATGAAATTAGGACCAGTCTACAATAAATGGCTCTGAACTTCTTAATCGTAAAATGACTTTCAGAACACAAATAACACCTATACATGTATACAGGCAGAGTAAATTAAAAAGGACCATTAAAGCCCTGGCTGGCATCGCTCAGTGGATTGAGCGCAGGCTGCGAACCAAAGGGTCACTGGTTCAAGTCCCAGTCAGGGCACATGCCTGGGTTGCAGGCCAGGTCCCCAATGGGGGCCACATGAGAGGCAACCACACACTGATGTTTCTCCCTCTTTCTCCTTCCCTTCTCCTCTTTCTAAAAATAAAGAAATAAAAATTTTTAACAAGAACCATTAAAAATTCTAATATTAATTCTCCCTTTAGAGGATCAAGGTTGTCCATAATGAAACTTCTAGAACTCTATCAGTAAAACTGGCATGGGTATCACGGTCAGAAGGAACTTGAATCCCATCTGTGGAGGACTAAACCAGGAAGGGGCGGCGAGAGTGCCAGGAGGAGGAAGACAAGAACGAAGAATGTTAAGGGATTTTCCCAGTCATCCAGAAATGAAAGAAACAAAAGGTTTTTTGAAACCTATTGTCCCAAATGGACAAGAGGATTTTACATCCTTGAACACTCCTGCTTACCCACCCACATCATGGTTATCTCCAAGGCTTTAATTTAAAAAATACTTGGGAAAAAATGAGTGAAAAACGCACTCTAAAATGCAATTGACAAATGTGCTATAGATGAGCTATAAAAATCGGCATCTCTGCCTTTCAAATTTTTAGTAATTTCACTTGACACAATGAATGTACTAGAGAATTAAGAGCTGATTATGACACTATTGATCCGAAGGAATCATTCCACATAAACAGAAAAGCAGGGGCTACCTACTCAAGCATTTACGTATTCGAGGAGGAATAGGAGAATGTACTCGATGGCCTGAACACCGAAAGGACACGCCCTGAGAGCTGGGTGGGCGGGGCTGGCACCACAGGCACGAGCTGTGCCCCAGGAGGGCGCAGACACCCGTGCTGCACTTCCTCCCCACCTGTCCTCTCGTGTGCACCGCCCACGCAGAGCACGGGCGGTGCACACGTCTATGCTGCGCCTGAGACTCGTCCCTTTACTGCTCTGCATGGCGATGCAGTGTTTCCTCAATGAACAAAAAGCGCTCCCCAACAAAGTGAGACAAATAAACCTGTCCCCTTAATCAAAATACTTCCAGACCAGCCTTCTCATTTCAACAGGCATAAATACCTGTCCCAAGCCCTTGAGGAATCATAAATGTTTAAAAAATAATTTGAAGAGGGAAGAGGGGTTGACGTGAGAGAAGGGGTTTTTTCCGAGAACAAAATTCTAGACTAGGATGCCCCAGTGCCATTTTTACCATTTCATCTTTAAATGCCACCAATAGGACAAAGAACACAGGACTCACCAATCAAGCCCTTTTCTGTACTTGAAGTGACAGTTTTATAAACGGGGTCGGTGCCGTCCTTCGGGTTGAAGCCCTCCGGTGAGTCAGTGGGCGCGCTCTCCAACGCCCTCCGCCTCACCGTCCCGTAGTTCGGTTCGAGCGCCTCCGACAGGGAACTGGAGGAGGCCCAACTCTGTCTCATCTGACTGGTCTCGAGGCTGCCTTTACACTGGCCACAAGTTCTAGGGCAGCCTTTCGGGCAGGAATAGGGCTCACAGTCGGTGGGTTCAACTTCAGCAATGGGGCCATCCAAATGGGTATGTCGGTAAGAGTTCAAAAAATCCCAGCCTTTTGGGTTTGGGAGGCTTTGGAAGTTGTCATGGGAACTGCTCGAACAGGAAGTCCAGCTTCCACGACCACTGTCGGCTGCATCCAGGACAATGTGCTCATGGGAGATCTCGTCACTGCTCATGGAGGACGAGACGGCTAAGCTCTTGATGAGAGAAGGCCTTGACACTGTCCACCTGAATTGGAGACACATGAGGAAAAGGAATTTACCGGCTTACTGGCAAACGCTCTTCTGCCCTCAGCAGGCACTGCAGGGTACGAGCGACTCCAGCCTCAGACCACAACACGTGTCCGAGCCAGAGCACCCCAGTGGAGCAGACCGGCGCCGTCCCTCAGTCCTCACCACACTGCCGCCAGTGTCAGTGCTCCGTTAGAGCCACACACTGAAGAAATGGAAATACTTAGTGAGGTTTCCTCCAAAATTTGTCTTAAGTTAACTGCAAATGAGAATGCAAAACGATGTTTGAAATGAATAAAATTAAGTGCCCATTCGTACGCTGGGCCAACATAATGCTAGATTCTCGCCATGCGTGCAGAGTTAAGAATTTCCGACCCCAGGGATGTACCCGAGGTTCTCCTGGCACAGCACCAGCAACACCTACTCCTGTGAGCTTTCTGTCACTGACGGCAGGGGTCGGGGTCCCCACAGTAAAGCTCGTGGGCCATTACCAGCCAACAGTCTCATTTTGTATGGTCTGGAGCAAAGCATGGTTTTTACATTTTATAAATAAAACTCTCCACAGCATTAGAGACAGAGACCGTATATGTGGCCTGCAAAGCCTAAAATGTTTACTATCTAGCCTTTCACCCCCAAGTTTGCGAGCCCTTGCTTTATAGTACAAAGCAAGAGCCAGCGAACTGGGGCCCATGGCCAAGTCCAGTCCTCTCCCAGTTTTTGTAAATAAAGTTTTACTGGGATACAACAAGCTCATTTAATTCCATACCGTCTCAGGCTGTTTTGGTGAAGTGAAGTTGAACAGCTGCAACAGAACTTACATGGCCTGTAGAGCCTGAAATGTTTACTAAATTTCACAGGAAGTTTGACCCCCGCTCCAGAAAGCATAGCTTAGAAGCCTTTCCAAATACAATGTTAATAGCTGACTATATTTTACATTTTTCATATTAAAGTGTACCAGAGCTAACAATACCTATCAGTTTAGAATCAACTTTCTCAAGACTTAAAGATTTCCATTTGGCCTACTCTAAATAGAAATTTGGAGCTGAACTGTTTTGCTAGCTGGTAATTCCCTAAATCATTCTTTCAGTGAGTAAGGATCGAGGGCGCCCCACTCCCCCCGCCCGTCCGCAGTGCAGGGCACGTCCCACCACAGGACCCTTTCACAGTTTCCAACCCGAGGGCAGGAATGCAAACACCACCCCCCACGGCAGTAAGGACTTCACTGACTTCTCATGGACGGAAGAGGTACCTGTGACGGAGAGTTACTTGCATTCAGCAACACTTACACCACGAGCACCCGTGCCTCTCTCACAACAGCACTTATCTGCGTGTCCAGCAGAGCGAAGGCATGCTTGGCCTTTGTATTCTAAGGACCCCCTTGCCAGTGCCCTATGGGGTAGTGGGTGCCCATTTGCCTCAGGTTCCGTGACACGGACACAGGTGAGGGTGTTTACCCGGGGCCAAGCTGACTGTGGTCTCCTGTCCCCGAGGAGTGCTCTGTCTTTTCCGACGCCCCTGTGGACTCAGGGACTGTGAGCACCTGGGAGGAGCACCGTTCATCCTGCAGAGCTGCAGACACGGAGTCGGCAGAGCAGTTGCTCACAATGCTGGACCTCGAAGAAATCTCGCTGTGGCTGGAGTCAGACAGGTTGTCAGATTTAGCTGACGGTGCAAGTGCATAACCTGAACGAGAGAAGGCAAGCGATCAAACTCTGACACAGGAAACTAGGGGGCGAGTGTGGCCAGGGAGTGGGCCTGCCCTCATCTACCCACACCATCCCAATTCAACAGCAAGGTCAAGAAACAGAGAAGTCAGAGTCCAGCATTACGAGAACACTAGTCCAGAAGTCTCTCTGCCCCAGGTTCTCACACATTTACAAGCATTTCATGAAAGAAGAAGGCACTGAGAGACTAAAAACATGAAAAAGTAGACATCTGGAGTTTCTCAACTTGTAACCTCCACGCCCACCTTTGATTAACATAAAACTTCATGGCCTGACTCGAGTGTCCAAAATACCACCTTGAGATGGGGTGGGGGGTGGAGGAATCAGGACTCTAGGGGAAAATTTTGATTTTTCCAACTACACATACTTACCCCAGATATTCTGCTTATGTCATTAAGAGGTCTTGCCCCAAGTTGAAAGCTATTTGGGATTTTTAAATCAATGGCTTTAGATTTGGATTTGATCTCACATCTAGTTTTCATTTTCTTCACCAACTTTGGAGAACATTACAAGGAAGAGCTGAACTACCGTAAGAATGCGGCACGACAACAGAGGCGTCTCCAGGCCACTTCCTTTTGCACCTCCTGGAATAAGGGGCTGGAGATGGAGCGAGGGGAGGCCCCCAACACAAATCTGCAGCCTGACAGATGCGTGTGCAGAGGAGATGGTTTTGATGAGTGTTACAGAAGGAACCACACTTATTTTGCCTCGCGATAAAAGAAAATGCTGCAGTCATCCCAGCAAGGAGTAGGCCCAAGGAAGCAAGCAGTTATTTTCTTGTTCACTGAGAGAAAAATGGCTGGACAGGTATATAACCTGTGGTTTGATCCCTAGGAATCTCAAGAACTATGAGCTTTATACTCACAGGTAACTCGTTACAAAAAAAAAAAATGCGTTGAACAATACCCTTATTAAGCAGTTTTAGTAACTCTTTCAGAGAGAAAAATGAAACCCCAGAAAACGCATGATTTATATGTGGCTTAGGGGGCCAGACACACGCCGAGCCTGCCTCGACTCCTGCCCAGGTCCCTGATCGTGGGGTTGGTCACTGGCGTTTCTCAGTGGCCCCCCCAGAGTCAGTCGGTCACTCTTCAGGAGGACCAAGGAAATAGGTGCGGAAAATAAACTGAAAATAAATGCAATTTAAACAACACTGAATGAGATTCACAGCTACAGAGAAGAGACTGATGGTAGCCAAATGGCAGGGATGTGGAGGGCTGGGCAAAAAGGTAAAGAAATTAACTACAAACCGGTAGCCAGAGGGGACAGAGTCGCTGATACTGCAGTGACTCCGTGTGGCTCCGGGTTGTTGGAAATTTCATCCCTGTGTGTGTTGTTAGATCAATATTTTGGAAATATAATCAACTTTAACAACCACCTAGAAAGCTTATTAGGACACATTCTCAGGCCCATTTCAGACAATTCGAATTTGCGCGGTCTGTGTTGGAAAAGGGTAACTGTATTTTTTAACAAGTTTCCGGGATGATTTTCAGCCTGCTGAGTTAGACCTCCGCCTCCACCTCCGCCTCCTCCAATCAGACACAGGAAGAGGTGGGTGACACCAGGTGTGTGGACGGGATGTGGTCTGCTGCCTCCTGGCACTTCTTTGCCTTTAGCTTTACAGGAGCTGCCGAGGCAAAGGTCTGCCTGAGCAGATCGTTACTGGGGGTTTCGATGTGGACGTCCGCAGTCTGGAAAGGCCTCTGCTTGTCTCTCTCACAGTCCCAGCTGCCACTGGCAGGAAATAATGCCAACTACAGAACACAGGAGTATCAACTTTACTGACATTAATTAAATAACATGTATAAAAATAAGGCACTTTAATTCAACAGGACTTTGTTGCTAGAGGACCCTGTAACACTAATGGTAAAATGCTTTTAATACTATTTCACTAAATTGTTTGCCTAAGCTTTATTTAACAAATGACTAAATTTGAGCTACATTTACAGTAATAAATGAAACCGATTTAACACTAAAATGAACTAAAAACTTCAGAGCGTCTTCCTCCTTTTAGACTGGCAGCGTGTACGGAAGCAGTTTAAAGCGGTGCTGTGGCCTCGGCTACTGGAACTGGAGATGTCACCCCCTTTTTCCTCTCTGAGGTTGCCTCCGACGCCCTCCGCTCTCTGAGAGCCCTCTGCAGCGCGGTGCTGGTCTGCGTCCTCTCTCGCGCTGTTGGCTAGTCTCTCCCTTGAAAGCGTTCTTTCCCTAAATCTTCTAAACGGGGAGGTGATTCTTTTTCTGGCTGTGTTCTCACTTGTCCTGTCTCTATTCTCCTCAGTGGCCTTCTTGGTCCTGTCTTTTCTTTTGGCTGTGCTTCTGGTAATTTGAAGGATTTTCTTTTGCAAGTAAACCCCACCTATGCTGGGGCAGCTGTGGCCACTGCTCTCGGTGCTGGTCTCACTGGGAGAGGATGAGGTAGACCCTGAGAGCCGCAGCAGGGTGCTGGGATCGGATGGGACGCTGCCAACTGGAGGGAGAGATGCAAAAACCCTGTCACGGTCAATTAATTCTTTCCAGTTAGTCACAATTAAGCTGGTTTAGAGAAGATTTCACTATTAAAAATTCTAATGCCTTGATAATTTCTGAGAAATTGAAACCTGGCAACATACATTTTAATGCCCAAAGAGTCTAGTGTACAGTGTTACACAGCAGTCACTGCAAGACAGACCACAGGATAAAGGTCCCCTGGAGCGCAGTGAGCTGTACGCCAAGCTGGTAAAATCAGAAGCAAAAGTATGACAAAAGTATTTCTCAAATGTAACTACCTCTAGAATCTTCAAGCAGATTCCACTAAAAAAAAAACCTTGGCAAAAATCAGAGAGGACATCCAATCAGTGTGCACGATAAATGTATTTATAAAGCACAATTTCTGATCCTGTCTTCTCTCCAAGTGCCTTCTTCAAGCACTGGGGAGGAGAAAGGTTAAGGCCTCTCGATTTCTCACTGTTTAAAAGTTCTTGTTTATGGGGTCGGGAGGGGGTGGAAAAGGTGAAGGGGGACAGTCCACAAGGAGGCTCGTGCACGGCCACAGGGGATGATGCGAGTCGGAGGGCTGCGCACATGGACAGGTGTGCAAATGCTGAATCACTGCACTGCACACCTGGAGCTGATATAATTTTGTACACCAACTATACTTTTTATATTCTAAATAAAATATAGAAAAGGAAAAAAGTTCTTGTTTAAATTCTGCATGTGAAAAATACAAAGCTAGGCTTACTTTCTTAATTGTAAGAAAACAAAGAACTAATTCCAAAGGTTAGCAAGAACTAGGAACTGATCCTAATAATATATGCATAGGCTAATGACACTTTTTTCAATCATAGACTACAGGCAAAAAAACTGTGTGGAAATAGAAACATTCAGTTGGAGTTCTGTAAAAACAATTGGAAACAGCTCTGAAGAAAAGCGTTTCTCCAGGCTCCTAAGGACCCTCAACAGGACTGACAGACCCAAATGGAAAGACGCGGTGGAGAGACTTCCTCTTCCCGCAGTGAGAGTGACCTTCTGCTGGGAAGCTCCTGACCCTGACACCTCTTGCCACCAGTCTCACTGGTTAGAGACCAGACAGCCTCCTGGTTAGAGGTTTGTCTGCAACGGGGCCTGAGGGGCAGAACAGGCAAAGGTGCCCCCCCCCCCCAGCTCAGAGGGAGCAAGGGGGCACGCCCCTCTGGACCACCCATGTGCCTGGTGCAGTTCCCAGCCACTGCTCCAATCTGAGGGGATCACTGAGACCGGGAGGAGATGCAGCAGACCCGGGTGCCTCACAAAATCATGTCCTGTTTGATTTTTACAAAGCTTTTTAGCAGCCCCCTGAGTGAGAAGTCCAGCCAGGTGACGGGGGAGGGCAGGGCAGGTTGGGAGCTCTGCTGCCTAGCGGCTGACACAGGGCAAGAGACTCCAGTTCACTGGACACTTACCGTGTCCCGGCTTTTACACATGCTGTTTCACTCAGTCCTGACACAGGTCCCCTAAAACAGGCGTTTCTCCCACTTCACAGACAGGAAACCCGACCTTGTCGATCAGCTGCTTGCCGTGACACAGCAGTAGGAAGGGACAAGTCAGGACCAGACCAGGTCTGCCATTACCGCACCACACTGCTGCCACACTTGGGGCAAAAATTAGAAAAGCCCTCCCAGACGGAAATGGAACTTAGGGCACGGGAGCCGAGGAAAGTTCCGGAAGCGTTTCCTTCCTGCTGGAGTTTGTAAGCTTCTTCCCCCCGACCACGCACTATCCTGTGCTGTGATTACGTCAAGATGCGATTCTCTAACATCTGTGAGGACAACGCCAGGACCAGGGACCCTCTGCCACAGGGCGCACACACACTGGCCCGGGGGGGGGGGGGACACCAGCGAGGTGGCTGCACGCGTGGCTCAGGTAAAACAGTGTCTCTGTGCGCACTGGCCGGGCAGCCCAGAGCAGCTCAGTCTGAACTACGGACACACGTAAGTGAATAAGAGTGATTTCAGTTTTTTTTTTTTGAACTTCAAGAGGGTCTATGTAAATATAAATGTAAAAACCTGTAAGGGTATAAGTTATTTTAAACTCCGATTAATAAAAAGATGATTCTGCATTATTAAAGAGAGGCATGCTCAACCTAAATGTTTGTTTCTTTCTCTAAATCTTGCTGTTGGTTAAAAACCATTTCTTGTAGAAATCCTTATTTTCGAATACTCCACAGAAGTCTCACATAATGGGAAGTCTGAATAGCAATGGCAGGAACCCGCATGGAACAGAACGAAGCAACTACAACTTCTGCCTGTGTTCGCATCTAAGCCTGTCGCCCACCCCCGTCAGGCAGGGACCGCCCTCGGAAGGCAGGGATCCTGCATGTAGTGACACCCGGGCTCAGAAAGCACGAGGTCATGCTCTTCCTCACACTCCATCATCACCACAGACTGGAAACAGGACACGTGTTTCAGAGTGTCGCCTGGTACTGCGAGCTGCCGTCTTACCTTTGTGTGGGGAGCCATGCGGGGACCCGGGAGGACTTGAATGTAAGGATGACGTCACGGACATAGTGTCTTCAGTATGTTTTTTACTGCGTATTTCTTCAGCTGTTCCTGAAACTTTCTGCAGTGAACTAGCACCTGAAAGTGAGACGGAGAAACAAGTAAGCAGTGCGTCACAAGGAACATGCCTGCAGGTGCCTCGATCGCTACGGAACTGAAGCCACGATGCACGATGGCCATGTGTTCGACTGAAATGCATACATGACAGACGGGACTACATGACTGGGCAATGGACACAGAGATTCTCACCTCTCGGTCGTCTGTTCAAATTCAGCCAGCCAGCACAGACCAGATTACAACAGCTCTTGTTTGTTTTGTGACGTAAAGGAAAATGACTTAACAGTCTGAGTACAAGTCCCGCCCCTCACAACTGGCACACTTGTTGGAAATCTTAATAGAGAAGGAAGGCATGGATTCGAACTCTCCCCTCCCCTCTAGAGGGGGCCTCTCCGAGCCGGGGCGAGGCACGTGGCGGGCAGCGAGGGATGCTGGCGCTGGCGCTACCTGCGCTGCGTCTGTGCTGTGGGGGCACGGAAGAGGCTGCGGGGCTGCCAGGCCAGCCCTTTGCAAGAGCACTAAATTCACACTACAGGAGAGAAGTAGACAACAGAAAGAATCGTGAATTTGTAGGAAAATAGGATGGAGCCCCCTGGAAACATTCCTGCAAAGTTCTATCATTGCTCTGGTCCAACGGCTAGTCCATTTAGCGCAGATAAAATGCAGTGATGATTTCGACATGCTGACATTTTACACGCGTCTCTAAGAAATGTCAGAGAGCTGCCGCCATGGCCCGCAACCCTGACTCGAGCCCGAGACCTGACGTGGGCTCGGCGTGGTGATGAGTGGCCCTTTGGCCCCGAGGCAGTTCAGATCGCAGCATGCTCACACTGCTTTTTCTTCAGTGCCACTTTAATACGAATGTATTTGCCGTCTGGATAACAGCCGTATCACCACAGGATGGAAGGGGGCTACTGGGTACGAGTAACACTGCATCTCAGGTGATGACACCCAAGGAAGAAACCAGACTAGGCTCATCCCATTTCTTACTCACACAAGCAACTTTATCGGCTTCATCCATTTTACTTCCAATTCTCCCTTCATTTTCACAGCCACCCAACGTTCAGGCTCTGAGCAACTCGGTTAATTGTGGCAGCAGCTTTCCATCCGGGTCTCTGGCCCAGCCTCCCTCCAGTCATTTCCTGACATGAACTGGACCAAATTTCCCCTTCACAAATAGCTTTGACAGCTGGCAGCTGACAACGCTCCTCCGGCATGCCATTTTGTAACTTCCGCACGCTGTGACCCCACTCCAGCCTGGGGTGCCCCTTGCCCAGTGGTTAAATGCAAGGACCCCGAGCCAGTCAGCCTGGACTCCACTACTTACTGGTGCTGTGTAAGTCACCTCTACAGCCTCCTCTGTCCAGTGTGAGCAGTTTCTCTCTCTCAAGAAGATGAAATGAATGTAACATACAGAGTGAGCAGAGCACTCTGAGCCATGCCTGATGCTCTGTTAGCTTTAATGATTACGTTCGACACTCTTCCCGAACCTGTGCACTCCGAGGCAGCAAACTGCCTGTTGCTCCTTGGAGATGCCAAGCTTTCCCTCAGCCTGAAGCAACTGCTCTGAAATTTTTGCCCAATGACCTCCTTCCTCACGAACCTTTAAGGCTCTGCTAGGGTGCGACCTCCAAAAACTTTCTCGGAAGCCCTACCTCACCTCTGCCCGCCCTCAGGCGCTGCCTCTTCTGTTCTTTTGCCCGTTCTGACCACATGCCCGGCGTAACAGCAAACTTACTCTAGTGAAGTTGTCTGTGCGTCTGTACCACCAGACTGCACATTTGGCAAAGGTGAGGCATTTCCATTCAACTTTGGATCTCAAAATGAAATAAAATTACGCTCACATTTCACAAAGTCCTACTGAAAACATTCTATATAACGCTTAGACTAAGTAATAATGCTACGAACCAAATCTAATCTGGCTCCCCCTCTGAAAGCACAACTAGCGATACAGTACAAACGACAAAAGTAATTCTGGTTACTACTAACAGAGGGAAGTGCAGTCTACCCTTTGTGTCCTTCGCAGACTCTCCCTGCCTCCCAGCAAGGTCTTCGGAAGTGGTCACTGATGGAAAGTCAACCTGCAGTCACTTTCAGAACGAGCAGCTTCATCCTCACAGGCTGCATCTGTGTGGATTCAATGCGCCTCCGCCTACAGTGAGCCCTTGGTGGGCTGTCAGGTGTTCATCTGATGTGATTATAGTTATAGGAGTTCCAGTGTTAGCATTCAGAGCGTGTATGCTGCTATCAAATACCGAGAGGCAAAATGCAACATTTTTTATTCACAAGTGATGATTACATTGCACAAAACGCAGCGGCTGATCTCCTGAGAGCTTATACTGGTGATTATCTTTTATTCTAACTCCCCTGGAAATTTCAACTGAATGCATGCGACAGTAATTGTGAATACTCACTCAGTGTGGCAGGGTCTTTTGATTGTCCCTTCTTCCTGGTGGGGTGCAAATTAACAGCTGGTACTTGAAGCACCTGGCTTACTCTGTGGGGCTGATGCGGATGGGCTTTAGTGGCTTGGCCAGCTGACCGCGGAGGCACTGGAGACATTTCTGCTGACCTGGCCAATCTCTTCTCAGTCAAATTCTTGGTCACTAGAAAGAGAGAGTAAGAAACAGGTAATTCTGCACTCTTTAGGGTAAGGTTATTACCACTGACAATAAATGGCTGTATTTAAACCACTTCTTTAACACAAAAATAGATTAAAAAAATAACTTCATGTAAGCATTATAAAGTTTTATCTCTAATTTTTTTGTGGAATTGTTAATTTTACTTCCTACTTTTTAAATCCATTAACTTCACTAGCCCCATCCACACCTCATCCTGAGGTTGCTGGTTAGCAACCTCTTATCTACACTATTTACATACACAGAGTGTGTGCGTGACAGACCCTGCCACAGGTGTTTATCTGTGCAAGAGCACAGGCGTGCACCAGCCCCAGGCAGACAGCAGCCCAGGGTCACACCAGTCCTTCTGTCTTCACACCAGCAGAGACCTGGACACTGAAGCTTCCCTGGGGGCCTGGGCACCTTTCAGAGCCTGCAGTAGCTGCAGCCACAGCCTGTGTCACACTTTGAGTCTTGGCCCTGGCCCAGAAGAGCCTAACACCGTTGGCGATACAGGCACGAGCATGTTTCCTAAGCTTGGGGTGAGCGATGTAGGCAAGTCCCGCTTGTGGCTGCTGCCCTTTGGGATCTTGGGCTTGACCTCCTTGGGCTTTATGAGGGTCTGATAGACTTGGCACTGGCGCTCATGGCCTTGGCATAGTTGGCCTGCATCTTCCTTAGGCCCTTTGTATTGCACTTCTTGACAAAGAGCATGTTCTTTAGGGAGCTTGGTTTCTGCCCCTTTAAGACATCCTTACCTCTGTGGTTAGGGTTTCTTGATGCTATTTATGTGCCATTCTATGGACTGGCTGTGGGTGACATGGTTCTTGGCCTTGGCCATGCCTGCACCAAAGCCTGCAGCTCCTAAAGTACCCGGGACCGGAAGAGCCGACATCCTCTCATCCATATCACTGAAATACTCCCCTCACTGTATCAGTTCTGGTGCCTTCAAGCTTCTCCACACAATAGCAGGTGACTTTTCCAATGTGAAAATCCCATCATAACACTTCCCTTCTTCAAATGCCCAGCACGAACCTTCAGATGACTTGCCACTACTCTCAGGGTCAGAATCCAAATCCCCCAAACAAGGCACGATCTAGCACTGTCCAGGGTTAGCTCCCCTAGTACTGAAAGCTGCAGGGGTGGGCAAAAGTAGGTTGACAGCAGTGTGCGTGGAAAATACTCATAATTAACAAATAACACAAGACTAAACTGTGTGTGTGCACGCACAACTGCATACCTACTTCTGCCCTGCCCACACCAGCCAGAGTGTCACTAACGGGAGGGCAAAGACAGCACGTCTTGCTCACAGCTGCTGCCCTGCGTGTCCAGTGACGAGAGAAGACTGACACTTAGCGTGTGTTGCATGAATCATGGCACCAGTGACAGACAGAGAGGCATCCCAGAGACACAGCTGACTACATGAAAGTGAGTGCAGAATTGAAAACTGGGATTTTCTCTCAAATTCGGCTGCTTCTCTTGTATTGAGTCAGCACTGTGGTCCACGGGAACGAGCTCTCCCCTCAGGCAGCACTTCACGCGGCCCAACCTCAGCACTCTGGGAGGTATCTGTTTTCAACACTGGGATAAAAGCAAAATTAGCAACTCTACCTCACCCCAGCCCAACTACAACTGTTAGCTGCTACCCTTCTACTTTGAGAGCCCAGGGGATATTCTGAGTAGTGAGAATTGGGGAACACCTCAGGAAGTCAAAACACAGGGACTCTGGGGCACAACGTGCAGTGTCTCACCGACCGACTGAATCCAAGAAGTTGCCACCTTTCGGTTGGAGCATAAAACACATTCTCCCCGCCTCTCAATACTAACCAGTTCTTTACTGACATTTTATTAGTTGTTACAGTACAAAGAAAAATGCCATGAGACTACTTTAAATATAAAAGAGTTCACAGATGAATGGCAAAGCCCACATATACCGACTTACTAGGAAAAACCAAACTCCACAATGCTCAACAATGAACTCTGAGTTTGGGACGGTCATTATTCAAACATTTAAAAATTAATTTTGCAATAGAAATCAGATAAAGACCCTCAAGCCAATTTAAAGAAATATGCTTTGGATAAATTTTCACAAAACTTAGCTTAAGAAAGTGTACAGGTCATCTCATTTTTAATCACTATTCGGTACGTAGTGAAGGACACCACTTAGTATTATGAGAAGAGACACAGTAAGTCTAGGCAGCTGTGAGAGACACAGGTCTGCAGGTGGGCGGGGGTTGGGGGGCGCAGGAAGTGTACAGAGAGAAGTACGTGGAGTCTTTCTGGGCCTTAACGTTTTAACAACGAGCATGAAAGAGATGTCTGGGCTCTTGAACATCGGATCAGATTTAGGGAACAAAGAATATCTGATAAGGAAAACAAAAGACAAAACAAATATCCTTTTATCATACAAAAGCGGGAACAAAAATTGGGCTCCATAACCATATAGTGATAAAGTCTATATTAAGTTACTTGGGAAAAAAGAATTTTGATGATCACCTGGCAAGCATAGCTCAGTGGATCGAGCATGGGGCTGCAAACCAAAGGATCGTGCTTCAATTCCCAGTTAGAGCACATGCCTGGGTTGCAGGCCAGTTCCCAGCAGGGGACACACGAGAGACAACCATACATTGATATTTCTCTCCCTCTCTCCTTCCCTTCCCTTCTAAGGATAAAGAAATAAAGTCTTAAAAAAAGAATTTTGATGATCAAAGCCGGATCAGAGTGCTTTAATAAATGAAATATGCATATGGTTTTGAACATTAAAACACAAACAAAATTTGGGCCTGGCTGGTGTAGCTCAGTGAATTGAACACCAACTTGCAAACCACAGGGTTGTCAGTTTGATTCCCAAGCAGGGCACATGCCTGGGTGGTGGGCCAGGTCCCCAGTAGGGGGTGTGCAAGAGGCAACTACACACTGATGTTTCTCTCCTTCTCTTTCTACCCCCCTTCCTCTCTGTCTAAAAAAACAAACAATTTCAAAGATTCTGTACACCTTTTCAGTCTTTATTTTCAACATTACTATTTATCCCATGGCTGACACTATTCTTAACAGCCCATGTGTGGTAAGAAATTTTCCCACGTACCTTCTAAGTCTATGCATATTTATTATTTTTAATGGCTATATATCATTCCTCTGACTGAAAAGGAAACAGGTTGTTATGTATTCTGCTGCAGTTCACTATCTGTGTAACCCTTTTCCACTGCATTATCTCACTGGAACATAGTCCCAATACCGGACACCGCACAGGTGCTGTGAGTGGCGAATGAAGTTGTTTATAAAGTACTTAGCATGGTTACTGGCATGTAGAAAGCTCTTATTGTTAGTTTTTTACTATTTCCTTTTCCTAATTTAATAGATTTGATGTAGAAAGCATCGGCAAGATCACACACACTCCAAACCCTTGCTTGATGAAGAGAACCTTGCCCAAACAGTAATGAACGAGACTCACACTGTCTCCCCATCCTTCACAGGCGTGTGTTCCAACATACTCCTTTTCTTTTCCGATCAGTAGGAGTGTTTAAGATACTAATTCACAACAACTTTTACTGAATGAATCGCTACCTTGTATTTTTGAGAGTCACTGTCAGACCTGATGGTTTTAAATCAATACTGGGTTATACTTCCACTTTCTCTTTTCCACTGCGGACAGACTTTTTCTACTGCTTTGCAAACACCACTCCGTTCATCAAGCTCAGGGCCAGCCTACGATGGGCACCACGTCCCCCAATCGATCAGAAACGGAAATAGAAAGTCTGAACCTCCCGCGCCAGTATTTTGTCAACATTTAACAAGCTCTATTCTCCTACTGGGACACACGCACTCACACACCCTTTACTAATAATTTAAGACCATCCTTACTTTGTTGTTACAACAAACAGTAGATTGTATCATCTCCCATTTCTGCTCTTACAACTTGTGATTGCCTTGACCCAGACACACGTGCATTCTGTTCTGTACTCAGAAAAAAAGAAAACAAACTCCCAAACCCCACCCAATGTTGAGAACAGGCTCTCTCTTGCCAATCATATTTTTTATATATTAACAACATCAGAATGTCTCTAAGTTTTGTTTTCCCTTAGTTTTGGACACCTCTTATCTAACAGTGCTTTAACTGAACTTCTTGTATTTTCTAGTTGGTAAATACTATCCATGAAATTTTTTAAAAGGTTAATATTTCACTTATTTTTAATCTTAATTTAGGGATGAAGGTAAAAATGTTTTTAACAGAAGGCCTTTGGTATAATGTTCCAGTTTTTACAAGAAGACTTTATAATGCTTCTTAAAGATGAACTACTTATTAGCCCTCTGTTTCTTACATAAGGTAACTGCTGAGAAGGGATGGGATTCTCTGATTAAAGGGTAACGTGATGCTTGGGTTGTGTCAGGAATCCTTTGCAATTGAAAGTTAATTTTCCTGGGACTCCAGCACAACTCTGGAGAGGTAAATTTCTATGTTACTGTGCTACCTGGGGCCACGGCAGAGAGCCTGTACTCACAGGTGCCATACGCGGGCTCCAACTGCAGTGACGTCATCTGGAACTTCTCCTCGTCTGTCTCCACGTCCAGACCGGACAGATACTGCTTCACTTTCCTTGCCATCTGGGCGTCCTCGTAGAGCTTCTTGGCGTTGAGCAGAGAACTGCGGCGCGCTCTCTTCTTGTGAGCGCCTCCTTGAACGTCCAGCAGGTTCGAGTTTGTGCTGCCTTGACTCAGGGACCTATGAGGAGATGGAGATCACAATAAGGGGCTGTAATGATGAGACTCGAGCATGGCAGACTGAAGATTAAGAGAATTTTGCTTCTGTTAATGCTATTGCATGCTGATGTAAATGAGTTAAAAGATGAAGAGCATTAATGCAAAGTAATATGGCATATATGGCGATGTTCTAAGTTTTAAGAGTTGGCAAAGTTTAGAATTCAAAACAATAAACCCTCCTGAGCAGTGAATTTCATCAGGCTTGTGTGTATGCCTGGGTAACCCATGGCACAATGGTGACAAAGAAATGTAGTCCCCACTCTCTGGATAGAAGGCGAAAGCCTGAGTTAGGACGGGCCCGTCCACGGCCACCAGGGCCCTTCAGCACCAGGGTCCCCAGAGCAGCTGTGCTTGCCCGCACTGCTTTGGGCACTACCGCCATCGCCTACCAGTCTACAGAAGGCCCACTCTTAGCATGCTGACCAGAGTTGGCCAAATTCAAAGAGACCACCAGTAAGAAAGACAACAGGGTTTATGCTCAATTCAATATAGTCAGAGATAGAAATGCAATAAAAAGCTACCCAAGGCTGCCCCTCACACGTGGAATGGTTAGGCAGTATATGGGTGCCTGGGTGCGGGTTCCTAGGCGGGGCTCGGGACTTGGGACCTTCCTTCTGCAGTGTCTCTGATGTGATGGAGCTGCAAGCTGGGCAGCAATGACCACAATTCAACTGGTGTTAGCGTCCCCTGATTCTACTCTCTTTCACCAGCGCCCTTGTACGAGGACATCTAGAACCGGCAGAAAAGGCGAAACGCAAGGCTGCTTGTCCTGTCTAGCAAGCAAGGCAAACCAATGCAAGGCTCTATGATGAATTTTATTTTAAAGGCAGCTGCCATTCCAAAATGATAAAGGTTTTTATGATTTTATTATCCAAAATAGTATCTAAGGGTTTTCTAAATTAGCCTAATATTTACACAAAAATATTCTAAATACACAGACTACATGCATACAATAATTTGTTTCTTAATGCTCTCATACCCAGTTTAAAACAGGTACTAAGATCCTAATGTTTTCATCATAAACTGAGTGAAACAAAATTTGTACAAGTGTTATGATAGTTTTTTCTTTCACAATTTTAAGATCTTTGAAATAGGGTGTGTCTTACACTTGACGGCAACTTTTGGTCACAGTTGGTCCAGCAGGACTGTGCCGTGGTTGTCAGTGATGACACGTGCAGACAACTTCAACACTTGCAGAGTAGTTTGGAAGGAAATCCAGTGACACTAGTGAATTACTCTTTTGTTAAAAGATGTTTGTTTATTTTTAGAGAGAGCAAAAAGGAGGGAGAAAAACATCGGTTGGTTGCCTCTTGCATGCTCCACCTGGGGACCTGGCCTGGTCCAGGCATGTGCCCTGACTGAGAATCGAACTGGCGACTTTATAGTCCACAGGTTGCGGCTCAATACACTGAGCCACACCAGCCACAGTGTGAATTACTCTTTAACCCAGGAAGCAAATGATTTTAAGGAGGTAGTGAATCCAACCAATTGGGCAACATTCCCACAGTGGCGGGCACGAAAAGGAGGCTGGCCACACTGACTCGCTCAGTCCACTGAAGAGCACAGCACCAGCAGCTCTGGACTCTGCTCCGGCTTGTTTTACAAAAGGCCGTGCTGTCCACACACCTGGCGGCACCCATGGCAACGCTGCCTGGGGAAGGAACTGAGGTGCTGGAAACTCTAAAAGTGATATAGAAGACGCACATTCTGAGTATGAAGAAGTTTTAGAAAACACCTGACCGACTTAATTTGCTTATATTTTCCTTTTTATGAATGCAAAAGGGTGTTATGTGATAAAAATACATACTTAAATTCATGTAAGAGCTCTTTCATTAGGTGTAAGTTCAGTGGTACCTAAAATAATTGTATGTCTAACAACTGATGCCTTAGATTCAAATGCAGTAAAATCAAGCCCTAAAATTCAGAAGCAAATTGTAATACAAAAACTTACTAATTTTATCTTAGTTGATGACATTCGGGGAGAATAAGAGGCAGAGACCACAAATCAAAGATACATGCAAAATGTCTAATAAATGAGAACTCTGTGATAAGTGACAGCAAAATGTCTTCTACTTCCAAAACAGAAAACACTCTAATACAAAAATGAAAATGCCTGTTGTCTGCTAGTGTTGTACATGCAAACCTAAAGCTGGATAATCAGTGAGTGTGGCACCTAAGTCATTCAAACACCTCAAATTCCCACTGAGATGTACTGACCAAGTACTCTTCTTCGTAACAGTAATGCCGGATTCAATTGCCATTTTCTGTGAGAAGAACCAGCAAAGACCAAAACATACATGTGTAACACAGAAGAAAACACATGGGAAACACACAAAGAAGGGAGGGAAAGGCAGAAGGAAATTCAAGTTTACCAAACATCAACCGAAAACAAGACCACAAGACAGACAGACTCAAGTTAAAGTAAGTGGCTCGCAAAAAATCCTTCTTATATGTAATAAAAGCACCTAACTTCATGATTCACTATAATCTTAAAGTAACACCATTCTTAGGCAATTCCTTCATCTACAAAAACCATCTTTCTTCATCATAAATTGAGATCATATAGATGATTTATAAGGTCCTAAAAATCCTGATTCTAAATAGATATCTAGCTCTGTAGAAGCAGAGATCTGAACCAACCAGAACAAAAGATGGCAGTATCTGATTTTACAGTTTTAAGAGAGCTAAGAGAGCTTTTAATTAAAAATATGAGAAATATAAAATTCAATCAGTGCTCTAAGTCTTGTGGTATTAGAAAATCTGAGGAATTAAAATCATCCTCTACTTCAGTTATTTACTAACTCAATAGTTCAGTTAAGGGCTGCCTCTTTTTTGAAAACTGATGTAAAAAGGTACTGTTAATAAATCTCTTACCTATTTTTATATTTATGTATTTAATTGTATAAAAGAAAATGGTGTGGGCTCTGGGGTCAGACCACCTGGGTTTGGACCCACCACGAGTGGGCTGCAGGAACCAGGATGACTGCATCTTTTCCAGCTGCACCGTGGGAGCAACGGTGTTCATTTCACAGGGGAGCCCGGAAAATTAGTTCGTAAAAAGTGCTTGTGACAGTGTGTGGCACGTAGCAAGCACACAACAAATATTTCCTATCATTGTCATCGCCATCATCATTTAACTGGCCTTGCTAAATTAAACCTAAACAGGACTTCTGGAACATTAATAATCAAAAAGGTAAAGAAAAAAAAGCTAGTTCTATCACTACGTTCACCTTGTTAGCAAAAGGCACTTGCCAGGAGTGGGGGCTGACAGGGTTAATAGAAGGCATGCTGTGCTGTGTGCGTGCATTAATGAGAAGGATGCAGGGCGTGTTAGGGTTGCACAACCTCCGTTCCAGCTGCATTCATCTCTACACTTACCCCAGACTCCGCCACCTCTTCTTCCTGTAAGCAAGAGCCACAAACATTGAAGCATGTGTTTGAACAGGAAAGCACAGAAAAAAGACAACAGTTGAGAGCCAGAAAAACTCTGGAGACAGAATAGAACAGAAAAATTTCACTAGGAAAAAAATGATAGCTTAACAGTAAAATGACTTTAATGGAATCCAGAGAAATAAAATGAATTATAGGTACTGATGGCCAAAAACCTCTAAAATGTCTAAAAAACATTCTTTTGGACAATTATACTTTTAATACCTAATTCAAGGCTTATGTTAATAAGAAGTTTAAGGGAAAACATTTATTTACCAAAAAGTGTGGATTCAAGACTTTTAGGAAAGGAAACCTTAAATTAAGGAATAGAACTTTGAAACATTTTTCTCAAAGGATTTTTGAGGCACTTATTTAAGTGACAGTATGAAATTACAAAAACATAAAGACTCATGATTTCACTTTTAGGTGCAGAAATATCTTTGAGCAGTGTATTTTATAAGAAATTTTAACCAGAAAAATTCAACTTAAAAAGTAAAAATACATCACAATTTTTCTAATACTGTATATCCTTATTGAACAACTGGATTAAGTAAACATTGCTTTTTGTATTTTTATTTTTATTTACGCAGATTTTTGCATTGCCTTCAATCACCCACTGGCCTCAGTGCACCCCAGGTCTGTCTGCAGGGAGCTCCAGTGTGGGCAGCCGAAGATGCTATATTCCAGCCAGTAAACTGATTACTGTTAAAATAAAAGGGGCTACTTTGTCCATACTACATAATATGCACCATCAAAATGGGCAATTATTTGCTTAAGAAAATCAGTACATTTCAGTACTGCATGACAAAAGACACTAATTCAGGAAAAGTTCAGTCCAATCTAATTATAAATCTTTTATTTTCTTCTGTATTGTGTTCTACTTAGCTAGCCAGGGCCATTCCCAGGAAAACAGCCAAGTTTAATTAATTTCTTCTTCAGGTTTTTTCATTCTTTTTTCACTGCTGAAGCAGAGCTGGTACTCAGCATAGTATCACCGATGGGACTGGCAGATGCACAAACCCGTTGTGTCCTCAGCAACCAGAGTGCGTGCGCGCACACACACACACACACACACACACACACACAAAGTAAATGAAGGTCCGACAGGCAGTGATGGGGCCACTGCACCAGGACATGGAACAACACCAACGACAAACTAAAAACAAACAAACAAACAAACAAACAGACTCTCGAGGGGCACTTTGGTCCCACTCGGACAGTGTCCACCCCCGCACTGTGGGGTGCAACACCTCTTGTCCCAGGCAGTGATTCTCCAGAGCAGAGGCGAGATGCGTGGGGGAGAGGTCTGACACCCCCTACACACGTGGAGATTCTAAACCAGAGCAACCATGAGAACAACTACTTCTAAAAACACAGACCCCTGAACAGTAGTGTCAATAAAACCAAACCAAAAGCCAATCCAGACACACACTAATTCTGTTTGGTTACAAAAACTCCATTTCCATTTGTTTTTATTAAAGAACTGAGTATTTTTGTTTCTTTAGTAAACTGTATTTTTTAAGCCAGAGAAATTGTGTCTGCCTCTATAAACATCTCATTTTTAAAAGCTCTGTATGTACTGAAACTATATACAAAGGCCCCGAGGAAAATCAGATAAAAGATTAAAAGTCTAATATTTACTCTGAAAATTATAAAAATTACTGGGGACAGCTTGACAATGTATTTTATGTTTAAATTTCATAGAAATTTGAGGAAGCTTTTATTATTACATTAAAAATGAATTTTAAAAAGCATTTTTAGAAGATCAAGTTAACGTAAGATACAAATATCTTCCCTTTCTATTAAAGGAACATGTCTAGATTTGCACTTTCGAAATTATGTTTAAAGAACTTGCATACAAATAAACAGCAGTGCCGTGACTTGAGAAGAATAATAAAGTAGGACTCAGATGGAAATAGGACTAAAGTATTCAGTAAAAGGGAAAAAAGGTCATATCCACATTAATACTTCACAAATCAGGTTAAAAACCTAAGTATTCGTCTTCTGTGGTAACTTCAGTAACAATAAGCAAGTTTTACTTAAGTTAGATAATATTTTTAAATGACACTAACAAACTGAGCTATCCATTTACTCAAAAAAGTAATGCAGAACTAGGGTTCAAATCTCAGCAAACTATGTAATCCCAGGCACCTTACCCAACTGCTCTGAACTTCAGTGTCTTCACGTGGAAAACGAAGGTCTGTATCACCTACCTTTAAGGGTTACTGTGATAAATCACTCCTCTGAGATTATGCAAGCACTTTGCATAGCACGTAACAAATGAAAAATGGTCGAAAATGACCAATACCACTCCTGTGACTGCATCCCTCCTGTGCCACCCTGTGCACTCAGCACCTTACCTCTGTCGGAACATCATAGCTGGGTCCATATTAGCAGACGTCATTCGAACGACCTGACGGATTTCCTTGGCAATCATTCTTAGCTTCTCAAAATTGACTAAACCATCTACCTTGGAGTCATTTCCTATGGAATAAAAGGAAAAGTTTGTAATTGTCTAAATTAAAGTATCTATAAAAAGGTAGCAGAAGTCGATTTATTATTCTTGGGGGGTATAAATTAATAACTTTCTCAAACTGCCATTCTTGCTATAAGAATTGATGAACCACAGATGGTTCAACCCTGCCCCCAGGGAATGAGCTATTGGGAGGAATTCTATTCCTAAGGAGGTAATAATTATGAGTACTAGAAAGTGATAAACAGCATAACTTCTAAAATGAACTTCATTAGGTCACAGGCACACTTCTAAAACGTGCGGCTCCTCGAATCCAGCCCTCCCGATGCTCAGCCAGCTCTCAGGCAGGAGAGTGTGCCTGCTGCTCTGGGCAGTGAAGACCTGGGTGTTACCAGATGTCAGAGAAAGTAAGCCGTGGGCTTAATTAAACCACAGAGTAAGTTTTGTTTGCTGTGGAATACTGAAAAATTGTTAAATGAGCCGTCAACATTTAAGACATTGAAGATATCCCATGAAAACAATAATTTCTGACTTCTCTTGAAGAAAAAAAGGCAGGAGTTAGGTGGGAAATAATAGGAGGTCTGTTTTCCCAAATGGCAATAATTAGTTAAAATTAAGAGGTGCTGGCTCATAAGGATAAACATTTTTTAATCTGCCACTCACTTTCCCTTTCCCAGAGTTTGAATTTATGATCATGACTTTAATCATTTAACATAAATTTGCTAGTTCCTAAGTTTCATAATTTTCGTTTCTGTTCTGCTAAGTACTTCTCTGAGAAAAAGTCATACAACTTCCAAAGTGGTCTACTTGACTTTGGAGACAGTAAGTAGACCAGACTAAGTCCGGCTGTTGCTCACCCGGTTCCGACCCCAAGGCAGCAAACACACTGAAAAGGCGCTCCGACTGCCTACACCCACGTTCCATTCCCCCCGCCTGCCTGTAACGGTGAGCACAACCCCGCCTATCGCCACGGCAGCCCACGAGGAGCCCTGCAGACAGGCTGCAGAACCACGCAGGTCCGGGACACCTGGTGGCCTCCTCTCACAGTGAGCAGCTCCCACACACACGAGCTGGAAACAAGATGAGATAACCACCAAAAATACTTCTAAGTCACATAAGCAGGTCTTGTGAGAGCATGTCAGAGCTTCAGAGTATCTTATGAAAAAGGAGTGACAATGAAAGAGGGTGGCAGTCAGACTGGGCAGTCTGAACTACATTATGGAGAAACAGCAGAAAATTGGGACGGAAATAGAAAAAGTGTCTGAAGTCTCTGCTGAGGTACCAAGGCAGTGAAGGCGAATGCAGGTCCGGGGCAGGCGCAGCATTTCCCAGGGCCAGACTCCAGGCACATCTGCGGACTTCAGAAAAGGCAGACACTGAGCTGGAAAACTGGACAGTGTCCCTGACTTTTGAGGTTAGAGGAAAGAACTCCAGTCCAGGTAAGCCTCCAGTGCTTTGGGTTGGGATCCTGAAATGCTGTATCCTGGGACTAAGAATAGCTGGGTCCATGTTAGCATGGACCAGTCCACTGAGTGTGCACTGGGATAAAAGTTCAATGTTAAGTTACCGCAAAATGTGAAACTAGAATAATGTAATTTTGGAGAATAGTGTCCTTGTCGACTGGCAGAAGGAAGCTTTAATTCTCTGGAGGAATGGAACGTCATCTGAAAGCTCATATTATTTCCGTAATTTTCAATACACAACACTCACTTGGTCAAAAATAACCAAGGCCATCAGGAGAAAAGACAACAGGATTGAAATGCACAGGACAGAAAAGACGACAGAAAGGGACCCACAAAGGACCTGGATTGGGGAGTCATTCGAGACAAACTATAAAATAACCATATTGTACACGTTAAAGATACAAAAAACAACACTGAGAACTTTGGCAGAGAACAAGATAAAAAGATAAGTAAATGTGAACCGTAAAACAGGAAAAAATAGAGTAATTGGAATTAAAAATTCACTAATAAGTTTAAAAGTAAATAAGACATACTTGAAGAGAGAATAGACTGGACAACAGGTTAGAAGAAAACACCCAGAGCAAAGCACGGTGAGACAAAAAGATGAGAAATACACAAAACAGTATGAGACAGTAAGGGCATTAACAGGGGGAATTAATCAGGTCTAACAAATGAAATCAAAGTTAGTAAATGAAAGCTCTGAGGCGGGGAGGTGAAAAACTTGAACATAAAATGACAGGATTTTACAAAACTTGCAAAAAAATATCAAAACACAGATTTCAATATCTTTTATAAGTAAGAATTAAAACAAAACGAAATGCCACACCTGACCGCATTACAGCAAAATCAGAGGAAAACACAAAGAGAAGAAAATTATGAAGCAGCTATGGGAAAAAGAATCGACTACTGTCAAAGGAACAGCAAATAGGACAGCTGATTTCTCAACATCAACGATGGGAGCCAGATGATGTAACGTCATCTCAAAATGGCAAAAGACAACTGCCAACCAAACTTGTGCCTTAAGAGTAAATATGAAGTACAGATATTTTCAGATAAACAAAAACTAAGATATTTCAGCACCATCTGACTCACGCTAAAGGGAGTGATGAACGATTTTCTGTAGGAAAACCCACCATCATTGCGGAAGCTTAGCAACGCATAAAAGGACAAAAACAGTAACAGCAGCATCAAATAAGTAAAGCTAAATGAAAACTAACTTTACTGAACAAAGGCAGTATCACATGGAAGTTAAAGGCATGGCAACAAATACATACAAGTTAGAGGTGGATAAATAAAATTTAAAATGCTCTAAGTTCTTTGCAATGCCTGACATGCAGAAAAGTACTAATGAATATTAAACTAATATCAACACATATAAATACTGTAATGCCTAGTGCAACACTAGAAAAATAACAAAATAGTGTACAGTTAGTTAGTGTATGGAGTAGGACAAATAGTGTGCAAAAAATGCAGGATACTGTAGAAAAAAAACATGGCAAAAGATCTTCTAAAACTAGAAACTTGCTGTTCATCAAAGTGAACCTTAAGAGAGTCAAAAGGCAAACTGTTTTATACACTGGCTTTATAAAAAATTCTTTAAAATGTATCGAACAGGCAACAACCTAATAAAAAGTTGCCAAGAAACTTGAACCGATAATAGACAAGAGGACAAATACATGTATCAAAGCATTCTTCCTCCTCAGTGGTACAGGAAATGCAGATTAAACCACACACCTGCTGGAAGAGGTAAAAACTAAAACAGAGTCTAACCAGGTGCCGGGGAGGGCAAGGACGAGAGCTCTAACAACACTGCAAGGGCTCCGCTTTACGTGGTAATGCCAAACGCTTTCTGAAGTCGACCACACGAACACCCGGACCCGGAACCTTGCCCCAAATCACAGGAGAAACGCACAGGCACTGAGATGCGGGCGAGGACATCTGCAGTAACAGCGCCACCATTCAGAACAGGTGCGTGTGGGAGCCATTAAACACTCATCGACCAAACAGATAAAACCACTGCATTGCATTCACGAAAGGGATACTAAATAGTTTTGAATATGAAGTAGGACAACACTCAAAAACATGGAAAGACCTCCCAAATCTATAATGTTGACCAAAATAAAGTAGAAAACAAACTAAACCAAAATGTGAAAGGACAGAACCTACCCCATGGTCCTGTTTGCATGGAGGTCAAGGGCAGGGGAAACCAAACCGCAGCATTAGAAGTCAGAGCGGCGGCTGCCTTGGGAGAAGGAGATGCGGACGGTCACTGGGAAGGGGCGTGTATGGGGCTCCTGGGAAGCTGGCAGTGTTTTACTTTTGACCTGGATGTTGGTTACATGGATGTTTCTGTAAATGTAGTAGGCTTTTCTCTTTTGGGGGGCACTTTTCTGTACATGTCATTTTTTAAAAGTTGGAAAAACATTACTAAACAATAAATATGATCAAACCATCTGATCTTGGTATGAGTAAAGTTGATGTTTAAATTAAGAGGGTTAACAGCTAACTTTTCCTTGTCAATAATGTGGGTTTTGAATTTTTAAAATTTGCTGCATTTAACTGGGTAGAACTTTAGTGATATATCATCATTAGACTAAAAACACATATCAATGAAATAAATCACAATTCTCTAGAATTAGCTGAAGCTAAACATGCTAATTTTCAGATAACTTTTACATACCTTCATGTAGAAATGTCATGTCTTTCTTGACAACGGGGAAGAGTGGAATAATTGGAGGCTGCATGCTCTGACTACTAAGAATATTTCTGTACTTTGCCATGTTTCTAGATGGATCAAAAAGGTCTTGGAGATCTTGCAGGTGCTTCTCATACTTGCTTGGTAACTTTTCCCAAGTGCCTCTGAGTCGTGCCACAGACGCTAGGTTTAAGCCACTGCCAAAGATGAAAATGACGTTAAAGAGGGGCTGTGTACAAGAGGGGACTCAGGTCGGTAACGTGCAAACACCAAGTGTCTCTAACAAAGCTAAAACACACAGGGGTACGTTTCGATGTGCTGAAATAAACAGCATAAACCATGAAGAAATAAACAATAAGGACTCCTTGATCTTAAAACAAGAAAATCCTCTTTCTGAAGAACTACTTGCCTATAAGTGTATACTTATAACCTTTATTTTATAGTTTGTACGTGACAAAAAATAATTCCATAAAATAGACATATAACTTTAAAAAACTTCAAGTATCACAATGTTTTTGTTTTTCTTAGAAATAGCTCTCTAGAGACATGGTCTATTTGTGAGTGGCTTAAGTAATGCTGAGTACACTACTGGTACACACATAAAGGAGAAAACTTCTGGGGCTGGGGCAGCATTCCTTCTCTGAGGTTTTGTTCCCAACCACCCTGACTGCATTACTTCCGTATCTCTCACTCCTAATGCTGTCCCCCAGGTTTCCGTACGCTGAGTGTCTCCTTTCTACAGAATTTTAAGCACACTCAGATAGCCCTAACTTGAAAAATGATTCATGCCAATTAGGCTGCAACTCTTGCCCCCTCCCTTTACTCCTGTACCGAACTTCTCACAGGTGTGCTGTCATGTGAACAGCACGTAAATAACGCCTCAACTTCTCACTGGCAATCCCACTTTTACGCTAAGCCACCTGATTTTCAACCACACCACTGATTTAAAATATTCTCTTGTGTTCAGATTTTCTGTTAAGATATCTTTGCTCCCTTTGCTTCTCAGAAAATAACTCAAATAACTAAAAGGATGAGTAACAAATGCAAATTTCATCTCCACTGAAACTATAACAGATTCTGAAACTCCAAAACCCATTAGGATGAACATCAAAAAATAGTCAAGGTCAAACAGGAGTATGTGCAGTACTGCAAAACATATCCACGGCTGCAGATCTCAATGAAAGCTGGGAAAGCACAGGGTTCCAAAGCACGTGATGCCACTGAAGGTGAAAACAGCAATCCCCTATCTGACACTGCACATCCGAGTCCGCGGGCTGACAGAATCAGGCAGGGGCTGGACGCTGTTCTTCACAACTAGGGAGTGCCAGGGAAAGTATAACAGTGTACACAATAATAGAACATCCTGGTGAGAAGCAGCTGAACAGTGAGACCCAACAGAAGGGAGAAACTCTGAGGTGTATGCGGCTCAAACGTTCAGCAACCTCCACTTGCTGAAAAGAAGCCGAGGGTAAAACAATGCACAGACCAGCTTGCTCCCTGCTCCCCTGCAATGCTCCCCTGGCTCCACTCCCACATGGACCCCCTGCAAATGTCATTTAAAAAGGAGGCATAAACACAGGATCTGCAACAAACAGTTAAAAAACATAAGAAAAATGTTGCCAATAATTAAATGAAAACTGGGACTAATCAACAACTTAGCCATGATTTCAAATGAATTAGTGAAGTAAACAAACAGCTTAATACAGTGATATAAAAACTTAGGAAAAATATGATGATAAATTAATTTAAAAGTAGTAAAGTTCAGGGAAAAAAATGGAAGAAAAAACAAAACCAGCACAGAAATGTACGGCCACACTGGAACCTGCATTAACAAAACTGACAGTGCTAAACACCTGTGCAAGTGACATGGCGGAAAAGGGTTAGTAAAAGCAATCAACAGAAATGCACAGTTAAAAAGGATGAGAAAAAATAATCCTATGGAAGACAAACGAGACCTAAAATCTGCATAAGTGGTATCCTTGAAGAAGGAAACAAAAATAAGGGAACTGAAAAAATACTCCAAAGTACAGTTTGGGAAAACTTTCCAGACTGGATAGACACCATAGTTCCGGAGACCCTAAAATGAACTAGAAGTGATGCAGCAACACTCATGTAAAGGCAAATGGCTTCAGAGATAAGGAACAGACCTGGGAAGTAACTGCAGAAACTCAAAGAGCTACACAAAATGCTAATTGTGGAGCCAAGTCTATTAAGTTTCCACGAAATAATGTATGAGAAAAGAACTTTAAAGCCAAACTGTCATTGAAGTTCAGAGGCAAAAGAAAGGCATTTTGAATGCACTTAGGAGATGAAATTCCCACAAACTGCAGCCCAGAGATGATAGGAGAGAGGAATGTCAGTATCATGGTGGCACAGGCACCCTCGCTTTATTCCCTCCTCTACCCCCGACAACAAAAATGTGGCATCTACCCACAAACAGAAGTGCCTCCACTAAATTTGTGGGACTCAGCACCACACTCCAAGGGACCTGGGAGGAGCCTTGCTCACAGGTGTACTGGGTGACAGGTTGCTAAGCTTCAGTACTGGCCGTGGAATCCACAGGAGACTGTGACTAATTCTGGTCCCTCTCAGCTGTGGTCTAGCAACACTGCCTTGGGAAGTCACCTGTAGACAAGAGAGCCTTGTGGAAGTCCAGGTTTCCAGAGGCGAAGTTCCAACACTGTGTTGGAACAAAACAAAACAAAACAAAACAAATTGGAATGCACTGAAGTAGGTTAAAGGAACTTTGACATTGCTGGCATCACCCTACCCCAGCACAGCTTAGAGCTCAACTAGGTGGCATGTGATTTCTCCCAAGGGGGTAAGGGAAAGCTGATGAGTGAAGGCTTGGTTTCCTTAGCTGAGTGGTACACTTCCAAAGCCCAAAAAGGAGTCAAATGAATATCTGGGGCTGAAGAATTCAATGAAATAAAAATGTGAGAGAGAGCAGTGACATCGGAGTAGATGCAAAAGAAGAATCATTGAGACAGAGGATTGGAACTCTGAAATAACAGTGTAAGAAAAAAAAAGAAAGGCCAGAGGCAGCCTGCATGATCTAAAGGCAACCATCCAGAAAAATACCAAAAATACACATTAGCCAAACCACTGGAGTTCCAGAAGGAGACAAAAGGGAAAGGAAAGGGGGCAGAAAGCCTATTTAGAGAAATATGGCCGATAACATCCCAAACCAGAGAAAGATCTGGACATCCCAGCTCAGGAAGCTGGAAGGTCGCCCCAAACATATTCTAATAGAACTGTCAAAGATCAAAGACTGAATTCTAAAGGCAGAAAGAGAAAAAAGGACTTAACCCATTAGGCTATCAGCAGCTTTCTTAGCCTTTACACAAGGAGAGAGTGGGATGATATATTCAAAGTGCTGGGGAAAAATAAATGCCAACCAAGAATCATCTGGCAAAACCATACTAGAGAAATGAACGACATCCACAAAGACCCTAGAAATGAGTGGTGTCCATAATGTCCTGTCCTCCTCCTACAGGAGTCTGCGGGGTCAGCTCCTGCAGACTCAGGCCTATGGCTTCTTTTACGGAGTCCAACTCTTCCCTGTTTGGTTGTGGCCTTTTCTTGCTGCCTTTTATTTTTACCAGCGTTACTGTCTTTACCAAAGAATCCGGCTTTCTCATTTGTGCCCCCAGAATATCACAACAACAACAAAAAGAGCCACCAATTCACAACAAAACACAGTAAGAGATTAAGGAAGAAATAAGCAAATTATAAAACAGCCAGAAAATAAATAAGATGGAAGTAGTAAGTCCTTCCATATCAATAATTACAATAAATGTGAATGGACTGTGAATTTTCCAATTAAAAGGGAGAGTGGTTGGATGGATGAAAAAACAAGACTCAACTATATATTGCTCACAGGAGACTCACTTCAGTTTAAAGGCCACTGAGAGGCTCTAAGTGAAGAGATGGAAAAAATACATGCCACACAAGCAGAAGCCAAAAGAAAGGTGGACTAGCCATACTTGTCAGACAAGACAGACTTTAAGTCGAAACTGGTAACAAGAGACAAAAGGTCATTGTACAATGATAAGAGAGTCGGCTCTTCATGAGATGTAACAATCATAAACATACACATATCCGACACTGGCCTACCTAAATATGTTAAGTAAATACTGACAGATGTGAAGGGAGAAACAGAAGACAATACAGTAATATTAGGGACTTCAGGACCCAACATGCAGCAATGGACAAACCATCCAGACAGAAAACCAGTAAGGAAACACAACTTGAACCACGCTTTACCAGGGGTGTCCAATCTGCAGCCTGCAGGCTGCATGCGGCCCAGGATGGCTATGAATTCGGTGCAACACAAAATCGTAAATCTACTTAAAGCATTATGAGATTTTCTTGTGATTACATGTAGCTATGTATTTAATGCATGGCCCAAGACAACTCTTCTTCCAAGGTGGCCCAGAGACACCAAAGGTTGGAAACCCCTGCTTTTGACCAAATGGACCTAATAAGCATATGAACATTCCATCCAACATTGGCATAAAAAATATTCTTCTCAGGCACGCACAGAATTCTCCAGGACAGATCATTAGATAAGCCAGAAAACAACTCTTAGCAAATCTATGAAGACTGAAATCATGTTAGTGTCCTTCCCAGCCACAGTGGAGTGAAACCAGGAAGTAACAAGAGAGGAGAACTGGAAAATCTAGAAATACATGGAAATTCAACAACATACCAATGAACTACCAACGTGTTGAAGAAGAAAACAAAAGGGAGATTTAAAATAATCTCTGAACAAAGAAAAATAAACATGTAATAACAAAATCTATGTAATGCTGCAAAAACAGTTCCAAAACTAAAGTTTATAGTAATAAACACTTGTATTACCAAAAAATTTAAAATCTCAATAAATTACCTAACTTATGCATCAAAGGACTGTAAAAAGGAGCAACTTAGTGCAGTTAGATGAAGTAAGGAAATATCAGAACAGAAATAAATAAAATAGAAGCCAGAAAAGCATTTAAAAAGAGCAATAAAACTAAGAACTGGCTTTTTGAAATGATAAATAAAACAGACAAATATTTAGCTAGACCAGCATTTTCCAACTGGTGTGCCTCAATCATTTTTAAATGTTCAATACTATTTAGTCAGGGGCATTGACCTCTTTCCCCTTAGACTGTTAAATAAAAGAATGATTAACAGCCGACACAATGATAGTCATCTGGTGTGAATCAATCTTGTACCTATTTTTTTTTCAGATCAGGAAAAATATTTTCTTTGGTATGCCACAGAACCATAGTACTGTGTGCCATGAGATGGAAAAGGTTGCAAATTGTTGAGCAAGACTAAGAAAAAGAGAGAATTTAAACAATTTATTTCCCACTGGAACAGACTTATTCACCCATGTCATCTCTGCTAACAGGTTACATCCTTCATATTTTTATATACTTTAATATAAAGTATAATACAGAGCAATTTACATAAATTTTTGAAAATGCATATAATAAATATTCTTCACAAGAAAAGAAACTTCTTGACCAAAGCAGCATCTTTTACCCAAATCTTTTCTCGGGGCTACCGTCTCCCCTTGGCTTCACCGACGGAGGCTTTTGTAACTGTGCTGTCCTGCTATTCCTTGTCCTCAACCCCCCATCTCTTCGGATGGACTCTCTTCTTCACAGTGAGGATGGTCCTTACATGCAGTTTTTAGACCACTGCCATTTTCTCTCTCACTCTCTTTTTACATGGAGATCTTAGTGTCAATACACTTTCTTCATGGAGAACTCCAAAACTCTCAAATTCTTTATGTCTGTTTCCTTACAAATAGTTTGAATTTCTAGCCTTCCAAGGGTTTATCAATGGCTGCTCTGTTCCCCTGTTTTAGGTCCAGCTGCTAAAAACTGTGAGGTAGGTGGTGTAATTCCTGTATTTTAGAGAGAACACTGGTCTTCAATTTTCCATTGACCCACTGTTACTACATGGGAGAAGCAAGATTCAAACAAAGGTCACTCTGTTAATCTCCACTCAATACTCCCTCCTATAGCATCTGGTTCCGCTGCAGGCACTGGTTAACTTCATAAAGGTGGTGCCTACTACCATGACAGACTTATGATCAAAAAGTCTATATAAAGATTCTTACATATTAGGAACAAATCATAATTAAATTCTGGGAGGACTATACACAGATGGAATTGGTTAAGGTGGAATTTTGCTGTTATATGGCCTTACATAAATGGCCCAAACTACAACTATCCCACCCCACCTTTAAAATTAGACTTGCTTTAAAAGGAATCCCTCTAATAAGGGTCAGAAAACAAATGAACAAGATTAGCTTCTCACTGTGAGGAGGGAGGGATAAGGAAGAAGGTTCTTAGGAGTTCATGGAACCGTCAGCCACTCCTGGGCTCACAAACACTGAAGGACTTTTATAATTCGAACAGTCTGCCTGCTTGAGCAGCAACATATCCAGCAGTACCTCATGCAGTGCCTCATGCAGTGCCTGGGACACAGGAAGAGCTCACCCAACGGTTGCATAATTGTTATTACCACTGTTGCTGTTGTTTTAGGTTAGAGCAGCAGTTTTCAGCTGGTGTGCCACAGCATACTAGTTTGCCATGAGAATTGTGAGACTATGCAATACCTAATTCCTTTGCCCTCATATTGTCAAATAAAAAACGACAACAGCATTTTTTATTTGACAAAACATATAACAATAGCTATCCAATGTGAATGAATCAAAATTATACCTATTTTGGGGGTCAGATTGGCAAAAAATACAGTTTTCGGTGTGCCATGAGATGAAAAGGGCTGAAAACCGCTGAGTGAGCGCACTGACGCCATGCTCTGAGGTTCCAGCACCATGCCTCAGTGAGGAAGGTACTGCGAGAGGCACGGCACCGAAGTCCGCTGGCAAAGACCAGGCGCTGAACACGTGGGGAGAGGGCACCATCCGTGAAAGGGGAAGGGAGGAGGAAAAACTGGAAGGCAATCAACCGTATTCACACACATGAAAAAAGTTCAGGTAACAGAAAGATGGAAGAAACAAAAAGGCAAGAAGCCAGTATCACCAAAATGAAAAGTGTATTTAATCTAAGAATTCTTTAGTAAAAACCTATTAATTAAAATGTCCTCTCCTTGCTATTGCATACCTGAGCAGAATATTGGAGTATGTCCAATATGACAAAATCATACATTAATTTTTGTACTAACTTACCTTATTATTGCAAACATGGAATTGAAGTTCTTACATTCACGACAGTGAAGAGCAATTTTAATGAAATGCTTAATAATCTTCATTCGTTTAAGCTGATTTGACTCAGTTAAAACCTCCGAGGCAACCCAGAATGTCTCTTGGTTTACGATGTCCTCAAACTCTTTCAAGTGAGCATTTCCTGTTTTAGACTCCAACTTGAAAAGGTCATCGATGTACTCGGTAGGCTCGATGTTGCGGAACAGATCGAAGTCCCTCATGGACAGCTGAGCGGCCAGCTCGACGGTGCTGAGCTGCAGCAGGGACAGCTGGCTCTCCTTAACCAGCTCCTGCGCGTCTTCGTCTGAGCACAGGGTCTCTGTCTCCATGTTGTTTTTTAAATAGTACCTACAAGGGAAAAAATTGTCTTTATGAGTGATTTTATGTTCATAAGACCATCTCTCCTCTTTATTACCGCAAAAACATTTTTAAAATTAAAAAATTCCCACATATTCACAAAAGGATAACCACTTAGAAAAAGAATTATGAAAATTATGGCTTCTCCTGCTGAAAGTACATTGTCATATTAAAACAAATTAAGAAATTAATACATACACATTCAGATGTATGTAAAGATATGTATCATTGACTTTCCTCCCTCTACATAAAACAGAGATTGGACTACATCAGTGGTTCTAAAACTTTATTTTAGAAAGAGGGCTAAAATATCTTAGCGACCATCCTCCCTCTCCTCTTCCCACTTCTGCACAGCTGTTATGAGTGCATTTCTAAAATTATGGAGATAGGGAAAGCTGAGAAAAATCAAAAGAAATCCTACTTCAATTTTAGAGAACTCTGTGGCCCTAAATGTGAGCTCTCTATTTAAAATATCTGTTTTAACATGGAATCTTCAGAAACACGCACAGAAATAAGTGTATTTACTGATAAGTGCACTCACCTTCCGTTGAGCTGAATCCTATCAGCTAATTTGGAAAACTGGTCCGGAAGTCTCCGTTGCTTTATGACGCCCTCAGGAGTAACAGAAACCTCACAGAGAGAGTATGTGTCGGGCGCGCCGGTCAGCCCAAACTCGTGCACAGCGTGACAAACAACTTCCTTAGCTGTGGTGTCTTTACTGATGATGATGTAGCAACTCTGCTGATCTGCTTTGAAAACTCGTATAACTTGATCAGGAATATCTATGTAAATACAAAAATGTGCCCTGTTATTTTAGAAAAATTACTTTTAACTCTTCAAAAAGCAATTTGGAACACAATGATCCTTTTAAACAGTGAAATATACATTTCTGTTTCAGGTTGACAAATTACTGCTGCATTTATTGATAAATAAATGTATCTATCTTCTCAGGTGACAAAACCCTAACAAAGAAAAACACAATAGTGTCATACTATATGTACAATTTTGATGTCATCTTTATATATTTTAATCACCCAAATGATAGGCACACATTGCATTTTCCCTTCTCTTGCTGCTAACACACTATCACATCGTCTGGGAAGGAACAGAGTTGTGTATCTTGCTGAACAGTGTAAAAAAGTCATCCTGTTCTAAACCGTCCCCCCACTGCCAAACAGCAAACTGTCACACAGTCACATAAGAGGGATTTGGGCATCAACACTGGGCATCTCCAGAACAGACCCACATACGAGATTATCCAAAGCATTAAGCCAACGTCTGATGAATTTGCCATCATAATAAAAATATCAATTTGGAAAACATTTGAGACAGAGAAGAAAATTCTCTGCACTAATATTGGCACCCATGTAAATCTCTTTTTCCATTTCAGAATTGTTAAATGCATAATACATAAATATCCTTTACAAACATATTTGTCAATAGAAGAACATCATATGTGTCAAACTTAGTACTTGACACGTGGCAGACCCACAAATATTAATTGACTAGATAAATGGTAAGTATGATGTTAAATGTGAATCAACAAAAATATTCAATTAATCAGTTCAAGTTTTAGGCTCAAAACTACAGGCTGCATTTCCAAACATAATCCTCTGACGGCAGAAGAGACATTTCAACAGAGTCTCTGAGGAGCACAGCATTTATCAGTCTTATGATTCCTATTTTATTAATAAAATTCTTATCAATAAATGAATTCAAGAAAAGGATTCTCAGATACCCGGACTTTCAACCCAAAGGCAACATCTCTAGAGTGCTAACCATGACCCCGCATGAGTGAGACAGAAGGAATGAGACGTGTGAGGAATACACGGATCAACGCTGAGGCCACGCTGAAAATGGGAGAGCTCTTTACATATTTAAGATGAGATACCCATAAAAAACCCCCACCAAAAAACCGACTCTTCGTTTTGCTTTAAATCATCAATTGCTGAATGAACAGTTAGAGAGTTTCTGTTATGTGCCCAGAATGTTCAGGTGGTGGAGACGCAACGATAAATGAGAAGGACAAAGTCCCGTCTCTCAGGGGTTTGCTTGTATTTGAGAGAGAGTGGTGGCCAAGGAATGGCAGATGGTTACTAAGTAATAAAGACACTCCACGTAGTGGAAAACACCACAAAATACACAGGGTGGCGGTATGATGGTACACAGCAAGGACTGGCAAGCTTGTATGAGTCAAACTGTAATATTAAGTTTTGCAAGCCAAGAAAGAACACAAATTTCCACAAGATTTTTTTAAACAAAATTCAAAACATAATGTAAATATGAAACATGTAAAGATATTAGAACACAGTTTAGGCAACACTGTAAATGTCTACCAAAAGAAACCTGGAATACTACCGGCTGTTTAAAAACAATTTGATAGAACAGACCCCTGGCTGGAGTGGCTCAGGGGACTGAGCACTAGCCTGCAAACCAAAGGGTCGCTGGTTCAATCCCTGGGTTGCAGGCCAGGTCACCAGTGGGGGGTGCACATGAGAGGCAACCACACACTGATGTTTCTCTCCCTCTCTCTTCTTCCTCCCTTCCCTTCTGTTTAAAAATAAATAAGTAAAATCTTTTTAAAAAATTGGTAGAATGATACATTCTGATACAGAAAAGTATCCAAGTTATATTGCCAAGTGAAATGGGCTAACTGGAGAGAAAGTATAGTGTACCATTTAGGGTAAAGGGAATGAGACGTACATTTTATGTGCACTGAAATTTCTGAAAGGCTGAGTAAGGAAAAATTGCTAACTCTTGGGGTAAAGACATTTAATTTCTATCCTTTCTCTACAATTTGATTTTTAAAAAACTATATATTTCTTTATAACGAAAAAGTAGTTAAAATAATAGGTTTGAAATACTGAAAGAATATGAAGATTACTAAATATTACAGAAAATTGTTAAGGGTGCACTATTAAAAAAAAGAAGAAGAAAAAGAAAGAAAGAGGAAGCAAAAGTTCCACATATAGCCCTGGGCAGTGTGGCTCAGATGGTTGGAACAATTGTCCTGTAAACCGAAAGGTTGCCAGTTCAATTCCCAGTCAGGGCGCACACCTAGGTTGTGGGTTCAGTCCTATTCAGGGCACATACAAGAGGCAACCCATCAATGTTTCTCTCCCTTTCTCTCTCTCCAAAATCAGTAAGCATGTCCTCAGATGAGGATTAAAAACTAAAGTTCCATATGCAGACCCAGGAAAAAAAATGTTGACGTTTCAAACACCTCTTAGCCACACTCTGAATTCTTTCACATGTCATTTTGCAGTTGGTCAAAAACTCCAAAAAACACATTTCACAAGTTATAGAATAGCATGTATACTCCAATGCTATGAATACAAAAAACACAGTCAAAGGAAGTGACTAAAAGAATACATGCAAATTTAGAGTAGCAACACTGTAAGTGGAGGGAAAAGTTCTGCTTTCTGCTTCATTCAGTTATCATTAAAAAAAAAATACTACATATAAACATAAGCAACAGAAACCATAGATACCTCGAGATACTTACAGTAAAAACCAGCAGCTGTAGGCAGCAAGAAAAAGGCAAAACCACAAAAAGGTCAGCAACCTACTCAAGAGTCCTGGGCTCTGTACCCACTTCCTAATAACCTTACACATGCAGCTTAAACAAGGCTGAGATGACAACTGATACAGTTAAACCTGACTGATAGAGAATTCAGTGTTGTTGTATATACTTTCAGGAACTGAGGTTAAAATTAATCGATAGAGTATTTTGTTCAAAATAATTATAAACAGTACCATTAAAAGCCTTTCATAAAGTTGTATATTTTGGGGTTTAAAAATATAATTTGTAAGTTAAATAACTATTTTACATTTGTTCATTTATATTGCTAGTATGGACACAGGTTCTGAATAGAGTTTAAAAGGCACCTTTGATCCTTTCACTATGTGTTCAAGGAGAGAATTATGCAAGCAATCTGAAATCAAATTGAGTGGCAATTCCTCTGCACAGATCTGAATTTCAGCACCATGAAGCTGCAGTCTCTGAATTTTAATAATTCCACCCTCTTCCCTCTGTCCTCCAGCCAAATCCCCAACTCCCCTTTCCTTTCTCCTCTCCCTACAAACCAGCCCTTACCCACCCAGCCCCACCTCTGTGTGTTCCGGTGGCAAAAATATAGCCATAAGAATCATTCAATCTGTAAATCTTACGTCCCTAAATACCTGTCTTAGGAAAGCACAGGCAAACCCTATTTTACTGCACTTCACTTTACTGAGCTTCACAGGTGTTGGGTTTTTACAAAGTGAAGGCAAGATCCTCCAGAAGCAGAAAGATTATACTTGTTCTGTTGTGGCTCTCTGGAACCAAACTCACAACACATCTGTAAGCATGCTGTACTTATCCTGGGCTTTGGTGATGTGAAAATGTTTTATCTGTGAATGCAGAGCAATCAGTACTGCTGTGGAACACACACAAACACGGCACAGAATAAATTCTCATGACAAGCGGCTGGGAGACAATGAAATGTGCTGGAGATTTCTGGGAAAGGGGGACTTCCTGCAGGGAAGGGACTGGGGTTATGAAGATATCTGAATGTCATCTCTTCCCTATGCACTTCTGTTTCACACCGAAGAAGTATCATCCAGCTTAGACAAAAAGGCATAATCTTCTGTTCAGCTTTTAGAGGTAGGAAAAGAAGGCTGCAAGCAAACCTAGCACTTGCTGCCCAAGGCCTAACTGTGTATTAGTCTGTTTGGTACAACACTGCTACATAAAATGACAAACAGAAGTCACCTGAGGGGTTGGAGAAGTCCAGCATGCTGGTGGTGGGCTGCAGGAGGTCCGGGCTGCTGGAGGACAGCGTCCCAGGGATGGGCATGATGGCCAGACTGTGTCTGCAGTGCCTCGTTCCCACAATGCTGTCATCCTGCGACTGGCTCAGGCCTCCGTCACTTCAAAAGAATGTCACATCACTTTAAAGTGCTGAGAATTCTTAGTAGTAAACATTACTGTTCTCTGCACACTAAGGCATACAAAACCAATTCAAAGTGGTGACTTCAACAATTAAATTATCACACCGATTCCTTGTACAAAGGGCAACAGTAATAATGGAAATGGCACTAAAACGTTTTTAACAATGACACAGAAATAAAGCTTAACTTATACACATCTACCTCACAATAGAGACACAGTCCTGTTTAGAGCTCCTGCTGGTTGTGGTGGAGAAGCACAATCTGGGTGCTCGGGACGCCTGTGGGACCCGCCAGCATCAGCGGGCACCCACGGACGGCTCCGACTATGCAGAGCCAGCACCAAAGCCGGTTCTGTCTCTCAGCAGAAAAGCTGGGCGACCTCCTAGGCAAAAGGTGGAGTTGGGGCTACATCTGAACAAAGAACAGGGCAGGGTGCAAAAAACCACAGAGCCAGGTCCAAGCGACAAAATAAAGGTCTTTAAAAATATGAACAACCTGAGAACTGCCCAAACCATCAAGAAGAGAGAAAACAGGAAGAGCGCACAAAGAATAGCAACGAACAATAGTGAAAATATGTGGCAAATAGAAAGGAGAAGGAAAAAGAGGACCAGAAGTGAAAATGGAAGAAAAGAATTTGATAGTCTCTCGTGTTTGTTCTAAGGGTACATTATTTCCTGTGTGATCTCTTAGTTCTTTCTATTTGGCTGTTTCTAGATGAGAACATCAGAACCAGAACAGAAAGCAAGTCATCTTAAGTTAATTCTCCTCAAAGTTTTCAAAAACAAGTGTCTATTAAATGGCCATAGTTAGGCAAAATAAAATACTTTCTTTTTAAAAATATTTAGAAGTGTTACATAAATAACTCTAAATGTATCTAAGAGAAAAAAATAAAAACAATGAGACACAACCGTCATAACTTATAGACATAAAAGTCCCATAAAACACAAAGAGAAAAACAGTCCTACACAAACAAAGAATAGCAATGAAAAGAAATAATTTCCATCAGCATCAACAATCAAAATACCACTTATTTCTAAGGTTATGCTTGTGTTAAAACCAATGCTTTAGGTTAATATTAGTTCTCATCTAAATTTTATTAAATGCAACATTCTGTCCAGTACTTGCCACGCATACAAACAGAGGTTTCACAGAATACTTACCCATTAGCTCAGAATGGATTAAAATCTGTCTTAAAGATGAGTGACATGGGATACAAGGAGAGTAAGTTAGGAGTAAAAAAATAGGATTTAGGCAGATTAGGGAACTGTGCAAGATGAATACAGAGGACTGTTAAATAAATGGCTGAAGGACTGTTAATATCCAGACAAGGACGAGAGAGCCAGGTTGAGACAGAAAGCAGAGGAGTGGAGAAGAAGCATCAGGACGCAGAAGACGGCACAGGTGTTTCAGAAGCGAGCTATGCCAGACAGACTTGGGTTATTAGCTGTGTGACCTCAGGGAATATTGTTTCTAGATCCTGATTTCTTTACCTAAAAATGTGAATAACACTATCTCTAAAGAATTAAATTAGGCAACGTAGGTAAACATTTGGCACAGAGGGAAATAGGATTCCTACTTTCAAGAAGATGGTGAAGTATTTTTAGCAAAATTAAAATGGAATGGTAGAAATAGGATTTTAGGCAATGCACACTGAAATAAGTGGGGTGCAGGGTGGGTACGGCAGGTAAAGGAGCAATAAAAATAGAAAATGTTTTCCTAGGGCCAGAAGGCAGTCTAATTTGACAGACAGGGCAAACGAAATATCTTACTTAAAAGTAATTTGTGCTTATGCTCAACTGGCTCCTTAGACTTAGGTGTGTACTCATGCAGGTCAGAGCTGCATGTTCTAAGGCTACTAGGTAAGAGAAAAAAGGGCGGGGGCCTCCACAGAGGTAATATTTCTAGCTTAATAAGAACTTTGGCCACAATTTATGCAGAAAATAAAAGGTTGTGTATGTGTGTTAAAAAATTTAACAGCCTTTCTTTGATAAATTTTTGAAATAAAACTGCCAGTTTTGGGACAAAGATGGTCAAGTAACTGAATCCAAGGAAAAAAATTGTTAAAGAGATTTTGCTGGCTGTTCCAATAAAATAAAAACAATTTTAACAATGTGGAAATTTACAATTTTCTATTAGAGGGAATTGGCTGCGTTAGCTGCAGAAGACTGAGACTTAGAGACTAAGAGAAGTGTGTGAAATACACAAAGTTCTCACCTCTCTAACTGATCTTGGCATTACTTCTGCTTTGTAATAAGCAATAGATAAGACACTATACAGTTATAATAATGCAAAGCTGCTTACAAATTCATGTTAATTAAGGTATGAGCATGTATAAATGAAAACTTTACTAATGTTAAGTATAACCCATGCTGTGACATGAATGAAACAGTATCTAATTGGCAAAATATCCATGCTTGCTTGGAAGCTGAATTTATAAAGCCTATTTGCAAATAATCATGTCATTTCTTACCAAAACAGTCTCCTGAGGTGATGCAGTAACAGAAACAAGACAGTTTTGAAAATTCCTCAAAAATTCCCTGGCACTAAATTTACTAAAAGTATATCTTAGTTTTACATTATGAAACTAAAAGGCTACATAAATATCAATATGCAAATAAAAATAATCCCAATATTAAAAACAAACCAAAAAAAGTATGCTGAAAAAAATGAGAAAAACTAATTTCTGATAAGCAAACAGGACAGTCTATTGGGACTACTACAGTGATTAATAGAAAGATGTTACTTAGGCAATCTGTGATTAAAGAAAACAAAATAAAAGCTGAGTGATTAAAAAATATAGCAGATTAGATTTCATGAATTGTGAAGTAGTCTCAGGTCAATAAAAACCGCACTGCTATGTCTTAATTTACAGAGGTTATTCAAAATCTAACTTTTTTCACTTCTAATTTTCAGGAGCATTCTTTTCTTTTAAAATGATGTCATTGTTAGGAATTTTGAGAATTACTGTTCTTATGACAACGGTTTGCTCTGCCCCTCCGTTCGCTTTCCTTCATCGACATGCCTCCTTACAGTACCCCACAGCAACTCATCTCCTACTCAGAGAAGTGGGTGCCCCTTCCAAAGAGCCCTGGAACATAGACGTTCAGAAACTGTGGAATTCCACTCATCAAAAAAAAAAAAAATCACAGTATAAAGCTTTAAAAATACAGAAAACAAGCAAGTGAGGAAGAAAAAAATTAAGCCTAAAACTGTGCACCTCAGTGAAAACCACGATCAACCCCCGTCTCCTAGTCCTTCTGCAGCACACACGGCAAAACTATCAAAACTATGTAACCGGTTCCTCGCAGCTCAACACTCAGGGTGTTTCCAGTTTTGTTCTGCTGCTTTCTAGACAACATTCCTAAGAACACCCACATATAAGGCTTCATCTAATTATGACTAGGAATGGAATACTGACTCAAAGGTATGAACACTTTTAAAGCTCTTAGTAAAAAACTCCCCGAATGCTGTTTGGAAAGGTTGCCTCATTTTATATTCCCACAGCAGCCTAAGCTTAATATCTATTCTGTTATCAATTCTGGCCTTAAAATTCCCTTTGTCAACCTCAAACAGCTTCCTGTTCTAACTGTATATCCCAGATTATTACTGATACAGAACATCTGCTTCATATACTGTTTTTCTACTGATTGTTTTCTACCCAGTGAGTCTTCTGTGTGTGTAGCAAAAGGGGTTGTCTGAATTCATTTTTAATGATTGAGTGCCAAAAAAATATGACATACATTCTCAAAAATGAAAAGTGGGCATTATGAAAGGTATAATGACACATTAATTTTCTCTGCAAAACAGACTCCAGTAGAAAACCTTTATGGTTCTTACTAAAATACTCTATTTTTGGTATACACATGGCTCAAATTAATAGTGTCTTATTTATTTGAAACATTTTAAAAGCAGTTTGACATTAACTCCTGAAGGGCAGTGTTTTACTTGTGTTTGTATCACAGCCAGCAGCCTCCTATTCACACAAAGCAAGAGACTCAAGAAATATTTCTTGACTAATAAATGGGAAAAAAAAACCCTTCTGAGTATAAGTAAAACTATTCCTACTAGCTCTTTCATTTTTTTGGTAACACTATAAAGAAATAGTGCTTGAATATACTCAAATGATTGCTCCTAGACACTTCAATTTCCATGCCTCTGCTGCAGCCAAAGACAGAACCCGAGGGCTGGAGGGCATGTGGCCCTGTCCAAAGACATCATGAACATATCTGGTCCATGCCAAGTGGTCCTCAGTATCCCAGTCTGAATCCTGACCTGCCCACCCAGGCTCCTGAGGCAGGAAGGATCATTATTGGCAATACAGCCACAACACAGTTATTAGACCAATAAAACAGGATGGCATTTCTTATTTATTAATCCTGTAAAACAAAAGTAAAAATAAATGTTATAGGCCACTTGAACTCAGGGACGTTTTCTAAGTGTGGATGTTTTTGGACAGGACCCAATGTCTGGCAAAAATTGCACACAGAGTAATGAAGTCCTCCCCACCTCTGAAGAGGGTGCTGTGGACATGACTGATTTCCCTGCCTGAAGCCTCAGCAGAGCTGGGTGGCACATGCAGCCAACAAGCTAACATCGGTTACAATCAGTGCTCTCTGGCTTGTGATGACACATGTTACAACTGTGCCACTGTTCAAAGTGAAAATCACTTAAAGGAGGTACAGGGATTCCAGAGCAAACCCTCTGGCCTTCCCAGAACCGGAACCCAGGGGACTGCCTCCTGAGCCCTCTCTTCTGCTTCTCTTCCTCCTTCCCCCTGCCTTTCCCCAGGGTCTTCATACAGAGGCTTCTGGTCATCCTACACTGTCCCCGATCTCTCCCATGTGGGCTGGCCCTCTTACCTTCTGCTTACTCAATGCTCACTTGTGAAAACAAGCCTTTTCTTACAGTGTTTGCTGTGCTGCTACGGTATGCTCAATAATGTAAGAACTTCGCTGTTTTAAAGTTCTGATTTTTATAGACCACTCGCCTCAAGGAGAGTAGTCACTGAGAAAGGAATGAGTAATAAATAACCCTTCTGGAAACGAATGACATTAAGAATAGAGCTCGGGATGTTTCAATCCTTTGTGAGCCCCAAATTAAAGGAACAGCAAATTTGTTTCCCTGACTGGAAATAATATCTCAAGAAGGAGAGTCTTTCCCCATCAGGAAATCTTTTGAGATCTTGATCTAAAAGATGAGAGCTGACACCTATTTCAAAGCTGCCTCATTAGTCTCCTGGCCATTACTGCTAATTGTGCCACACCTTCGACCTCAAACTACAAACAGGCGAACAGAGAAGTTCCTAAAAGCACAAATCTTATCACATCATCTGTCTTCTCTGGCTCCCTACTATGACTTGAAGAAGTCCTTATCTTTGCATAGTATTCAAAGTCCTTCACAACCTAGCACTTAACCTATCTCTCTTGCTTCACCTTTAGGTATGCACACACAAACACTCTAGTCCAAACAACCAGACTTTCCTACGTATCAAAACATTGATCATTGTCTAAGCACCACTAGCCTGCTTTCCCTTTCAGATAATCAACTCTCAAAGGACAAGAAACTTGTCCTACTTATCTTTCCATATTTCTATCTCTGGACATGGTGCCTAATATGTAACAAATAAGGGAAGAATAGAGTTACTGATATGAACTGCTTAGAGGTAGGAACTACCTCTTTTCGGCTCTATAATTATCGCCTGTCCTAGTGCCAGGACTATCAGAAGCCAAGTATTTTTTTTTGAGCATGCTTTGTTAGAATGTGCTTTCTGTCTTTCACTGATTAAGTGTGCCGGTCTACTACATGCTAAGTACTGTATTTGATTATAACTTCTGATTAAGGAAGTAGATAATGTAAAATATACACAGATATAATATATACTAGAAACATTTCTAGTCATGGCACATCAGTGGATTGATTTCATCAGTATTTCACAGACTTTAATTTACATGGAAAATCTTGAAATTTCACTCCGTTTTAGTGCTATCTCATTTTGGAAATCCAAATAGCTTTGATTAATAAGGTCAGCTTTAGAATTCAGAGGGAATACATAGCGCAATAAGAAAAAGATCATTTAAAAGACAAAAAGTACAATTAGTGAATGTGTTGTAAAATTTAAGGTGTCCAAATTTGTAGGTCAAAAAAATGAAACTGTAGCAAAAGTGTACCCCTTCAAAAAAAATTTTTTATAAAATAAAACGGGCAGTTTATTCTAAAATTCAAAACAAAGCTAATGGAACACTATATAATCTAACAGTGGTAACTTCAATGGAAAAGATGGGGAGACACACAGAATATATTCTTTGTTATTTATGGACTGCTTGTAGATTTTATGATGCATTATTTGTATAAAACCCAAAATGGGCCCAAACATCCGCTCCCCAACATATAAATTTTACAGACAACAGGAAAACGCCCCAATGACTCAGAGCAGCATTACATACCTAAACAGTTTGGGAGGCAAGATACTAAAGCGTGTTTTATCCAAAATTTTCCGGATTTTGTTTCTTCCACCTGAAACAGTATTTGCTTTTACTTTCTTATGCCCCTTCTCCTGTGGTATCTGCTCAATATCTCCTGGTACATCCTGTATTGAATGGCGATTACTTCTTTTTTCAGCAATTTTGGGAATATGAGGAACACCAGATTTTTCTTGTTCAGTCCTACTAAGTAACTCTTTAAACACTGTGGAAATAAATAAACAAACTGTCACTTCTTCAGATTAGAGAGTTTTTATATAAACAACAAATTTTAAGGACAAACATAGTCACACTCTCTCACTTGGACTTTCACAGCCTTAGTCATGAAATTTATAGCCATCCTTTATCAATTATACCCACCTTTCTCCTCAGTTTTTATACCTGACTGTAGTCCTGCTGTTGTCCAAAAGTGATTTAAAAAAGTGAGGAAAATGGAAAGGAAGCGGACAGACTACCAGCATATTTGAGAAGTTCAGGGGTTCCTACATAGGAAATAAGCAATATAACTGCTAATCAACTCAGATTTTACTGAAACAAATATTTAGATTCTATCACTTAGGTTATATCAAATGATGAGATAAAATGAGATATAAACACTATATCAGGCTCAGTTTTGCAAAAATCATTCATTTAAAAAATAGGAAGAACTTTGCTTGACCTGTTTTTACCAAAAATAGCACTAAATTTGGTAACGTGACAATTTCCTCAATGTCACATGCATGAGACTTAGGTCACTCAGTAAAATAAAGCAACTAATAAACATTCACTGCAGTGGTCTGAAGTACAGAAAGCCAAATGTCCTCAGAGAACTTTTCATCAACTCTAAGTCCATCGAGTCATTTCATCCTTAAGGAGGATGCCAGTGCATCTGCGGACTTGCCTCTCTAGCAATCTGTTCGCCTCGATGTGATTCTTGACCTTGTGAGACGAGCTCTATCTCCCTAGAATCAGGCAAAAGGAGATATATCTGTACAAAGGCTAAATATCTAGAAGCTATTAGTGACTCATTTTCCAGTTAAAGTAATGACATAAAAAAGTTTTTTTAGTTGTTTTAAATGTCTGTTCTTAAACAAGACACATTAACTACTAGAGGGAAAAAAACCACTAAAAAGATTAATGCTGAGGTACAAGGTGACTTTCCTAAGCATCATGGTGACTGCAGGGTCTGGATGAGAGCCAGATTGTGGCTGCACATTTCTAAACGGCCAGGCTGGTGGCCCGGGAGGTGCAGCCCCGGACCGAGCAGCAGTGCTCTGCACTGCCATAGGAGACCAGCTGTGAGTTGTACAATGTGCTCACTGAAGCCTCAACCAAGTGAATTTTGCACAACACTTAGGACTAACAAGTAACATTCAAATGGACAATACCCTTAAGAATGGACACATTACAACTATATATAATTTGGTTTTCAAGTTGTAAAATTGGACTATTGTGAAGTTTCAGACAGAATGATTTCACATTACCAAAGCATATTGCATGCTTTTGAAAAGCACATTTTCTGCCTTCAAAATAATGGAAATTTTTAGAAGTCACCTTTTCAAAGATAGTCTGTGCTTGATTAAAATACAATAAATTCCCTTCAGTTTCTATTTTTAAATTTCATTTCAAGCCTTGTGGTAAAGAGAGAAATGCTTTTTTTTGAGCTAAAATCAAGATATCCATCCATTTGAAAAACGTTACTGACCTATAAATACAGGGTGGGCACTATGATAGGTGTCGGCAGGGCACTCCTGTTGTGGAACATGCAGTCAGTCTGAGATGCAGAGAGAACGCCAGTGACAGAGAACATAACGAGAGGGACTAATTAAGATAGCAGGGTCAGGAAAACCTTCCCTGATTAAGTCATTGTGTAAGAAGAGGCCAGTAAGGTGAGCAGATTTTAACTAGGCACCAGAGGGGAAGGAAGAACTATTTCCAGGTAGAGGAAATCTCTAGTTGAAAGGCCCTGTGATAAAAGGAAATGTTTGAGAAATGAAGAAGACTAGAGGTCAAGGTGGAAACTGATCATGCTCTGGTGAGGTGTTTGCGTTTTCTGGTAACAGCGACAGGTCTCTGAAGGGGCTGCAGACACCCCGGCTGTGCTGTGTTTGTCCGCCACTCGATAGCGTACAAAGTAGTTTATATCTTCACTGGACTTGAGTATGTAATTTCAAATAAAACTCTGTGGAGCTTCCAATTAGTAAATTAAAATGAAAAATGATTGTGTTGAATTAAAAAAAAAGTTAAGGACAAAAATGAACAGATGGTGAACAAATGTAACTACAATACAATACCATTAAACAGCAGTATCAGATAAAATATGCAGGTTAGAAATGAGGGTGCCCAAGAACCAATAAAAGTTTAACATATGTGATTAAAAATTGCTCACTCGCTATGTGTGTGTTTACACACACAAATGAAAAACACAATAAGTAAAGTCAAAGGACAAATAACTTGGGGACAGTATTTACAACACTTGAGATAAGACATTCAAAGGAATCCAGAGGTAACTCAATATAAAACTGGACAACTAAAGACTATTTACAAATAAGAAATACTAATAGATATACAGAAGTGCTCACCCACCCTCATTACTAAAGAGTGTGCAGTAATAACCATTCTCATACACTGATGAAGGAAGTGTAGTAGGCAGACCGGGGTAAACATCTGGAAAGTAAAATTCTCTAGTAATTGTCAGAGTAATTTCACTTTGAGAAATGTGTAGCTGTCTATATAAGCACTCAACATAAGTACAAAGAATTTTCATTATATCACTATAAACAGCAAAACTGATGAGCCAAAACATCCATCAGCATGATATCAGCTCAACAGATAATGATAATGTGGTGACATCCAGTGCATTCTACACCAGCGAGTCTGGATGGACTGAGTGGAAAGGTGCAGAACACTATACACAGTATGGTTCCCCAGTGTATCTTTCCTTAGTGTTTTAATTATCAAAACATGTCTGTGTATTAACTGTATGAAAAAATTTAAATCCTGATGCCAGTTAAGATGGAGGCATAGGTGGAAACATCGTGCCGCCTCACACAACCAAATTTAAAGACAACGAAGATTTAGAAATAAATAAAAACACAACCAGAACAGACAGAAAATTGAACTTTACGGAAGTCCAAACCATTCATCCAGACCAGTACGAGGGGCAGAGTTAGTGGCTGGGGGGAGAGGGGTCCCGGCAGGAAAAAGTGGTGGCTGCCAGACCAGGTCGCGGGGAGGAAACGAAAAGACCCAACCAACTGAGGCGCGCAAGGCAGCTGACTGACCCTGGACACACATTCCCACACAGATAAACCAGGTGAAAATGGGCAGTGAGACAGACCACAAAAGCCATCCCAGTGACGGGAAATACAGCCTTAAAGCACCGAATGAAAACACCTGTGAGGGCTGAGGTAAAAGGAGAGACTTCCAGCCTCACAGGAGAGTTCTCTGGAGCGTCCCACGGGTTTCTAGAACGTACCCAAACCCACCCACCCAGGAACCAGCACCAGAAGGGCCCAATTCGCTTGTGGGAAGCAGCAGAGGGGACTGAAATCCGAGAATGAGTGGAACAAGAGCCATTGCTCCCTCTCTGACTCCGCCCCCATATACAGCATCACAACCCAGCCACTGGTTGACTGGGTTGCCCCGCCCAATGAACACCTAAGGCTCCGCCCCTCATGCATAATAGGTGCGAACAGCCCAAAACATTATGGCTCAAGTAGAAGAACAGCTCAAAGTCCAAGAGCCAATTGGACTTCTAAGCGACCAAGAGATAGCCAACCTATCAGATGCACAGTTCAAAACACTGGTGATCAGGATGCTCACAGAACTGGTTCATTTTAGACTCAAATTAGATGAAAAAATGAAGGCTCCACTAAATGAAATGAAGCAAAATGCACAGGGAATTAATAGTGATGGGAACAACCTGGGACTAAAATCAATGAAGTGGACCAGAAGAAACAACCAAACAGAAAACAAGGAAGAAGCAAGAATTCAAAAAAATGAGAGGCTTAGGAACCTCCAGGACATCTTTAAACGTTCCAACATCCGAATTATAGGGGTACAAGAAAGGGGAGAGGAAGAGCAACAAGCGGAAAACTTATTTGAACAAATAATAAAGGAGAACTTCCCCAATCTGGCAAAGGAAATAGACTCCCAGGAAGTCCAGGAAGCTCTGAGAGTCCCAAAGAAGTTGGACCCAAGAAGGAACACACCAAGACACATCACAATTACATTACCCAAGACTAAAATGAAGAAGAGAATTCTAGAAGCAGCAAGAGATAAGGGGACAGTCACCTACAAAGGAGTTCCCATCAGACTGTCAGCTGATTTCTCAAAAGAAACCTTGCAGGCAAGAAGGGGCTGGAAAGAAGTATTCCAAGTCATGAAAGGCAAGGACCTACATCCCAGATTGCTCTATCTAGCAAAAGCTTTCATTTAGAATGGAAGGGCAGATAAAGTGCTTCTCCGATAAGGTCAAGTCGTCTGCTGTGTCTGCACGTGTGCTGTGGATCAGGCAGAGGGACTCCACCGGGGCCAGGGAGTCTGGGAGGGCTGGGAACACTGCCCTGAGAACTGCAACGGAGCCAAACCCAAACCAGCGTCACCCCTGTCTGTGGGACATCTCTGCTAGCAGTAGTGTTCCATCCTTCAGATCTATTCTGCTGTCTCCCAAGGTCCACACTGTTAAACACTATATTCATTATATTATACAATTTTTGTACCTTTATACATAATATTTTATACCAGTCAGTAATTATTATGGGCTGGGCACAAAAATTAAAGGTGTAAGAACCCCAGGAAACAGAAACTAAATAATTTGGTCTTGGTGACTGAGCAAGCTCTGCTTGCCATTTTTTACAATCAGAACCCTTTCAGTTTAACACAAAAGCTGATGTCTCTATACACTAGTTCCAAGCTTCGGGAAACCTAAACTGGCAAGGCTTACTTACTTGTTGCTTATTTAACACGTTAGGAACTGTGAACAGTTATTTACCAGAGTTCACGTGACACGATCCAGTAAAAGGAACTCAAGTGAAATGAGGAAAAATACTGTGTTTCATTTTTCATTATGACTCAGTGCAGGATAAAGCAAAGCCAAAGGGGAAAAACAGGACACTTCCTTTTCCACAGACACAGCTTCTAAATTCAACTCGTGTTTCTTAAGTTTCAACCTAAATAACCTACAGAAATTTCCCCCCTACTTTGTAAGGACTCAAATTTTCTTTGGTAGTTTTCTATTGTTATACTGTTGCCATTCTCAGAATTTCAAAGAAAATCTAATGCTATTCAATTAAACCAAACTACAGGAAGTCATTCCTAAATGTTTAAAAAAGTGAACAGTACAAGTATAGGCTTAATCCTTGCCTCATTCAAATATAAAGAAAATCAAGGCACAGTAATCAATATTTTTACATAAAAGTAGAGCATGTTGTTAAAAATTTATAATTTACTGCTTAATTACATCAATGTTTTACTTAATTTACATCCATGAAACAGCTAATCTGGCATTCATGTTACTATTTCCGGGAGCTAGCTAAAACATCAGAAGTAGACTGACTTGTTCATTTACACATGGGGGGGGGGTGGCGGGCAGGAGCTGACTCGTAAGTTTCATTCGGCTCATTCTCAGTCTCACTCAGTGTCTCGGTGCCTTTAGCGCAGCACAGCACACCACAGCTGCTCAGTAGGCATCTTATAGATGATGGACTGATACAGTAGTACACATGCTTTAGAATATACTAAGATGTCAAAATAATAATTAAATACAATAAAAATTAAAACCCTACAATACATAATATATCTCAGCTCCAAAGATCCTAAGAATGTTCAAGTGGCTTGGATAGAAACATGTTTTTACAATCTACTATCTTTGTTTTCACGGTAATGAGCCTTTTTTCCATCACAATAACAAATAAACAAACAAACAAACAAATAAAGCTTAGAGAGTTTTTTTTCAGCAAAACTTACCAAAAATGTTGGTCTTTACAGTAAGTGCAAGGTGAGTATTATTCCTTAAAATTTCAAGGGCCTTCACAAACGTAATATTCTCAAAGTTCTGTCCATTTACTTCCATTATCTTCAGGAAAGTATTTGAAAAATACAAATTAAGAAAAAACAGTATTATCTCTAAAACTTTAAGTTTAATGAAAAAATAAAAGTAAAATAAAACGAACAAAATATAGCTGTAAGTGAACAATGGTTACCTCTTGTGAGAAGTGGGATGACTGTTTAATTTTTTATCTCTATTTCCCTAAATCTCTACTACAAACATTTTTTTAAAAGTTCGTTCACTCTGGGATCATATTAGGGAAATTCAAAAATAACACAGGTTGGTACATAGGAAGAAAAAATTGTAGTTATCGGCTCATAAAAATTGCCTGTGTGTGTACGTTCAAATTTTAGTGAAACTTTCTGAATGCAAACTGACTGCATTTACAAGGGAGAGAAAAGTGGCACTCACATCCCTGTAATAACACTGCCTGCCATTGACAGAGTCTGGAAGTCTAAAGGCAACTAGCACCAACTGCGGTTTGGCTCTTCTTCCATGAGACACTGCTGAGCCTTCGCAGGGGCCTCCCAAACTTGCTGTACCTCAGAATCACACAGGAAGCTTATTTAAACAATACTATTAATAATTGCAAGAAAAAAGAATAGCGATAAACATAATGAGTAAAATCAGCAGCATACAGGACTGATCTCAGATACTGACAGAAAAGCTCCAAAAACATTTTTTTTTAAGTGTGAGAAACGAAATATTAGGGGAAAAAAAATTCCCACAGGTAAAGTTCTCAGAGTTAAAAAAGTCTTGTCTACATACTGAACTGGATCATCTAGTACATACACAACAGAGTAAATAAAGAGATTTTTAAACATATCCCGAACATTTTGAATTCCAAGGACAGAAAACAAGAAACTGCAAGTATCGCTGCGGGGCCCTGGGAAGGGGACCAAAGGCTGGTTCCAACCTGCCTTGAGCAACAAACACTAAGATGACCTGATATTTATCTGTGTTTAAAACTTCTAGGGGAAAAATAATGGTGACCAAGAATTTTACACTCCAGTGAACAAAAGCATTATCAGACGTGCAATGACACACACACAGAACTAATAGCACCTATTTGCCCTTTTTGAAAAAAGTGCTGGAAGACACTGGGAGATCAATCAAAATGATAGAAAACACGGCACAGATGAAATGCAGGTGATCAGTGTAACCCCTAAGTTAGGTGTATGTCTAAATAACTAAGTAATAAACTTGTAAAACTTAATGTAAATGTCAAAAGTATTCTTTAAAAAAGAATGTTAAAAATGACTTAATATTCTGGATCTAAAATCTCAAATAATCTCAACGATACTTATAAGGACTGAAGGAAGAAGTAAAAGCATGGTAAATGTCTTTCTTCTTTCAGGAATGAAATTAGTGAATTTCAGTGTTTTTCTGTGAAGAATGAGATTCTTAAATGTGTTTACAATAAAATCCTGGAACAGTAAATATACTGACTCCACGATCCTAAGTACATGATATTCTTTAATAAATAGCCTGAGGTAAGGCCCAGAATTCTATTTTTTAAAAAGCTCCCTTAAGGAAAAAGGGGGGTCGTTGTAACCTCATACCGCCGTTTCCTAACCCCTTGCCTTATTGACATCTGGGCTGGATAATTCTTTGTTTTGGGGACTACTCTACTGGGGGGTGTTGTAGGTTGCTATCCACTAGATGCGAGTATGAATCCCCAAGTCGTGACCATTAAACATGTCTCCAGACACTGCCAAACATCCCCTGGGGGGCCAGGTCACCCCTGCTCAAGAACCACTGTTCAGAGGTACAGAACAACTTCTAATGTGAATACCTCAACATTTAAAAAAATAATAGTATGGTTCAGTTAAAAGTAAAATAAAGCCACATTCTAAATTAATGAGTGAACTCACAAAAGTCTTTAAATGAGAAAAAGTAGGCTTCCTAAGTAATTCAGCCAGATATGGGAACTCATGGTCTGCTCTTCATGAGAAGCATCTGGAGGGCTATGTTAGCAAACACACCCCCCCAACTTCATCCCCGGAGGGTGTGATTAGTGTGATTAACAGACTGGTATGAGCCTAGGGACTGCACTTTTTAGTAATAAAGTTGTGGCTAATCACGTTTTAATACATTACAGTTTCCTGATGCCTGTAACGAGAGAAGAAATCCCTACCAACCTTCTCCCGGTGCCTTCTCTCTCCCGGCCTCTGACCTGGCTCACTGCTTACACCTGTAGCTCTGCCTCCACACCAACACCACTGAAGCTGAACCACCCTTTGCAGCAGTCTCAGGCCGCCTGAGTTTAGAGTGCCGTGAGGGCAAGCGCTCGGCCTCTCCCAGCAAGCCAGGGTGCCGGCTGGCACACTGAGCTTTCTGGAATACTCTGAAGCTGCCAGACACAGAGCCTCCTATCCCGGGAGGGTGGGCAGGGCCCTCTGAAAAGGTGTTGTGCTGGCAGTGCCCAAACGCCCATGCTGTTTCTGGCCACGCCCTACCAAACTTTGCATATAAAAGTAATAGATACATGACAAATATATTTTTAAAGTAAGCTGTTTAAAATACCTTATCTAAAAAAGCAGCTTTAACAGTATTGCCTTAAAGTGACCATGCTCATAACTGAATAGCTCCCACATGAGAAAAAAGAGCAGACATATTACTTGTGAGAAGGCTCTCATTCAAGTGGTTGGTTATTCACTTATCTCAGCGATTGACACCTGGTGCACCACAAGAATTCTGAAAACATGCAACACCTGACTATTTAGTCAGGGGCACTGACCTCTTTTCCCTTAGATTGTCAAATTAAAAAAAACAACAAGAACCAACACAAAAATAGCTGCCCAGTGTGAAGGAATCAAAGTTATACCCACATTTTTTGGCAGACTGGCAAAAATAGTTCTTTTCTGGTGTGCGGCAGAATTTAGTAATTAGTGCGTGTGTGCCACGAGAGGGAGAGCTGAACAGCGCTGACTTACCTGATCCCCACGTTTCAGCCCTGCATCAGCAGCTTTGCTGCCCGGCTCTACTCCTTCGACAAAAATGCCAAAGCCCTTCTCACTCCCTCCATTAAGGCTGAAATGCAGAGGGGACTCCCGGGAGGCCTTCTGCAGCACAACCTGCCTCCACTTAGCCTTTGCAGCGCATGCGATATTCAATAACCGGAGGTGACCATTCATTTTCTAGAAAGCGGAAAACAGAAAAATGTATACAAATGTTTGTATCTACTCCTACAGGCTTTAAAAAAAATCACCTACAATGATTAGAAGAGCTACATTTGAAATACAGACTCATGAACATGTGAGTTGGGTAAATAAAACGGAAGGAGGGGATCTTTCACCCCGGAGCACTCTCAACAATCTCTCTTAACATGCAAACTTCTAGGTGATCACAGGTCAGAAAAGACTTCAAAGTGCTATCTCATTTAGAGGGGAACAACAAGAAAATTACTCATTCCTTAACCTTCCCTAATATACAATGTTCTATCTTGTGTAGCTCCTGGCTGTTATACAAAACCCAATTCTTTTTTTTAAACTTTATTTAAAACCTTAAAGGATGTGAACTACCATTCCAAATACTGTTTGTTATTCAAAGATACGTTCATGTCTCCAACTCTTCAAGGAATGTTATTCCTGTATTATTTTAGAACTTCCTTAAACTGAGTAATATTCTAATTTCCAGGTTTTAACACTAGTTTAATATCCAACTACTCTCAAATAGTGTAATATGTATAAATCTTACGTTCATAACAGAAGCTAAAGTTTAAAGTAGAATTCCATAAATAATTGATGACTAGATGATTACTAAAAAAAAAAGAAATCCCATGACTCTAAGGAAGCTTCTACTTTCCCTGAGCCCCTTGAGTATCTACATAGCCAGCACTGAAGGCCGGGTGATGGTGGACTCTGTGACCTCTAATCAAGCTCCCCAGTTCTGTTTCTTCTCCCCACTTTGCATACAGCAGATGTGATGCTCAAAAGGCTGCAGGAACTAAGCAGTAGGAAAAGGGACAAAAATCTGCCAATTTCCCCATCTTCATAAAACTCAATCCACTTATATGCTATGAGTAATAGCAAGAATTCATATTTGCTATGTGCCAGGTTTTGTTCTCAGATTGTTACATTCATTCACTCATAATCCTCACAACATTTCCAAGAAACCAGTGACTACCATCCATAAAGTAAGACAACCGAGGCACAGACGTTTAGGCAACTTGTCCAAGTTTACACATAGCAAATGATGGGTTTTGGGTGTACATTCAGGCAGTGATTCTTCAGCTGTATTGTTATTTACTTCGTAAAACTGCACTTGTTTGAAGCAGACAACCCTGTTGCAGTTCAAAGTTTTATATCTGGCAGGGAGAATAAAATGGATTTAAAAATAGCTACTGTTAAAGTTAAGAGGACCTTGAGGTGACTATCTTAGGTTCGGGAGATTTAGAACCAGTGGAATCACCTGCAGAAGGGAGACACAGAAAATCGAATGGATCTTATGTGTGAGACAGGCCTTGAAGTTTCACACAGGACTGAAAGAGGAAAACTCCAGCTTCAGAGAACTGGAAAAGAGTATGAAGTAATCTGGTTGGCTATGATCAAGGGTGAACATGAAAAGGCTGAAAATGTAGCTGACGGACCTGAATATATGGGCAAGGAGTTATTTTGGTAAAAAATGACTGACAGAGAGTGTACTATCCATCTTATTTATGATTTAAAAATGATCTGTTGGCCACAAAGAATGGGCCAGAAGGAGGAAAAGGCTGGAACCCAAATTAGGAGGCTGTTATGACAGACAGGGCATAAGGAAATGAAGCCTGAAACTGGGAAGTGAAGAAGTGGCTGAGCGAGAGACCGTGGGAAACAGGTTTATGCCTAAAATCAGCAACCCAGGTGACTTTAGCGGTTGACTGGACATCTTGTCCAGGGCACTCACATAAGAGAGGGGACCACATATTCACCACAGTTTGTAAGTCTGGGTGGCAGGGAAAAACGTCACCATTAATCCTAAAGCAGAAACAGGAGAGTCAGGAGGAAACCTGATGTTTACTTGGGTTGGAGCGGCAGAGAATGAGTGGAGAAATAAAATATGGATTTGGAAGTTCTCAGAACAGACATTCAAGACCCAGGACAGGATGAAACCTGTTCTGAATTGCTGTCCTTGGAGAAATGGGGGTGGAATCCCTAAACTCTAAAAAAAGGTAAATTATTTTGAGCCTTACCGTATCTTCTAGGTTTTTCTCAAATTCCTCCAGAAACCGAGTCATAGCAGGATCGCCTTCAAAATCATTAAAATGATTGTTTACCCATAATAACACAATCCGCGTCACCTGTGGAAACCCGAAGGAGGCAGCATTCAGTCATGAGAGGCATTCGTTTTCCAAAGCAGGTTCCAAAAGCATGTCTAACCCTAAGTTCCACGGCTCCCTCCGCCCCCTTTCCTGTGCACAGCAGTTCACTCCAACAGAGAGACACGGTGTAGGTTGAGCTTTTGTTTCCCTGGGAACACAAGTAACTGACAGCCGAGACCCTGCGCCCCCAGTGCAGAAACAGAGCCTGGAGGTTCAGGTGAGAGTAAGCACATGGGGCGTGTACTTCAGACAGTACCTTAGAATGCCAGCTTCTAAGGGCAGGCAACCAGTATCAAAAGTGTTTCTAGAGCCAAGAATGTATTTAACCAAAACTATGACAAAAACAAATCTGAAACTTCACTTATAAACACTGTAAGTTTTCAAAGCTGAAAACTGATTTTACTCTGTGCCACAGATTAACAGAATTAAAAACTAACAAAGTAAAGTTGAACTGAATAATGTGCCTAGCTAACAATGTCATTGAAGTTACATACTTTAAAAACTGCGGTGGAGCGCACGTTAAGCCCACCATGCACCCACTTCGCATGCTGGCATACAGCACACCCGCAGCCCCGTGCAGCCACGCCCCGCGCAGCCACGCCCCACGCCCGGTCCCGCTGTCTCCCCACCCTGGTCCCGGTCCCGTGTGAACAGTCCCCGCCCACTCTGGCCGCTCTCCAGCCACTGACTGGCTCTTCTGTCTCTAGGTATTCACCTATTTGGGGTGTTCATATAATGTGAACTTTTATGTCTGGCTTTCCACTTAGCATATTGTTTTCACAGACCATACATGCATTTCATTCCTCTTTATGACTAAGTAATATTTCATTATATGGCTACACCACATTCTAATTTTGATAAAACTCAATTTGTCTATTTTTTTCCCTTTGTTGCTTGTGCTTTGGGTATTCTGTCTAAAAAAACCCCATCAAATTTAAAATTATGGTTTTTTTACCCCTTCTTCTAAGAGTTTTTTAGTTTTAGCTCTTGTATTCAAGTCTCTGTTCCCTTCTGAGTTAAATTTATATATGGTGTAAAGTAAGGATCCAATTTTATTCTCTTGCATGTGAATATCTAGTTGTCTTCAAATCACTGTTGGCATCTTTATTTACTCAGCAATCAAAGTATTTATAACTCTAAAGTGTGTGTGTGTGTGGGGTAAGCCTGTAGTTTTGGACACTCTAGTTTCCTAAACAATAGAATTCCAGTCCATCTACATCTAACTTATTTCTTTAAAATAGAACTAGACACATTAGGCAATTATGGCCCTACTTTTATGCTTCTTAAAGTAATTGAGTATCTCCTATTTGCAAGGTATTACCAGTCTTTCCATTAATTGTATAAATACCCCATGAAAGAAGATAAACTATTTAAAATAGCAAATAATATTTAATGCAAAAAATACTCAAAAGTAGATTTAAGCCACAGCAGATATAAATTAAGGTAAAAAAGATCAACTGTTTCAAAGGATTATATACATAAGAAAAATCAACATATTCTATTTGGGGGCTTACAAATAATCTAAGCTCTCTTGAAAAAAATATACTTGGTGCATATTCTTTCCAAACTATTAGTCAATTTTTAAGCCTCCTTCAGAAACAACTAAATATTCTGAGAAAGTTCAGACCCTCTCGCGTGTCTGGCACGCTTCCCTAGTTTACAGCTCTATGAGAGCCTGGTCTCAGCCTGCATCTTTAAGGCTCCCGTCCACTTTGCACATGCTGTTCTCTCACGATAGCAGCTACACTGCGACACATCAACACTGGTTCACTTTTTTTTTAAGTGCACTGAATCTTATCGAAACAAACATATACCACTTGCAAAAGGTTTTATGAATAAAATTTAAATGTCAAAATCATTTTCATGCTTTTTATATTTATAAAACCAACCTTATCCCTTAAGCTGTCAATTTTAAACCATTCCAAAAGTTTGATCCCAACATCCAGAGGGCTTTGAAGAAATGTCCTATAAGTTAACAGAAAATCTTCTATGTAAGTTGGATCCACAATGGAATGCTCTTCTATTAAATGCATGATGAGACGCTCAGGTGTGGCCTAAAAATCCAAGGATAGAAAACATCAGAAAATAAACAAATAGCTCAAAAACTACACAACTCCTATTAATCACTTCCCTTTGCAGCCACTCTTATTAGACAAGTCCTCTAAGAGCTTCACCTTTAAAACACTCGGCACTGGAATCAGGTTGTCTCTACAGGTAGTAACGCCTCGGCGCCCACAGGGTGAGACAGAGACAAGCCCGGGGAATGAAGGTTCACTCAGCTGTGTGTTTCTATCAGCATTTCCTCACAGCAGGGCTTCTGACCTTCACTGACTGACCCCCGGTGTGGACTGTCCCTGCCAATTCTACTGCGAGGGAGGGCTCAATGCTGACTGTCTCAGGGAACGGAAGGAAAGGTGAGAGTTAAAGAAAAACAACAACAAAACTCCCTCCAAATTTAATCATATTCCAGATTTTCTTCTGCCTTCCTCTGGCTAGAGAACAACACACCCGTTCAGGAGAGATGTTTCACTGTTGTTACTTCCCAGAAGTTTCCTCCTCTATGGCTTCTCCACGCTAGTTCACCATCTTTGGAGGGACCAGAAGTCCTAAAGAGTTTTTACATTAATTCAGAGTTTTAACTGCTTGCCTGCCTCCACATTTATGGAAAAAAATATAAACAACATTTACCTACTGCTCATCTTTGAGCTTCCAAATCAAGGGTAAAACTTATTACTTTTGCAAGCCTTTTCAAAAGTGGGTACACCAAATAAATATAGAAATAAACCAAATGTTAAGCCAAATATAAAAACCAACTGCTGCCTACTACCTCAAATTTCAATTTGCTTCATTCATCCAAACAATTCATGGGTCAGGAAAGCTGTACAGAAAACATACTCTAATATTAACAATGTTCGTATCTAAGAATTTACTTTTTAAAAAAGGCAGGAACCCACTGCTAAACAACGCATATAAAGCACTCCTCCAGCAGGGAGTCACGAGGCTCTTCATGTGGCCTATTCGACATGCAGGGACCAGGTGCCGCACGCCGTTCCTGGTCGTCTCCACCCTCCAGACACTCTGAAAGTGCCAAACTGGGCTTATCACTTAGTCGTTTAGACCAATCACAACTTGAAGTCACTTAAATCTGGTTCTTAGATCATGTGCAGCGAAGTCATGGGTGGAAATGATCGACATGTTAGAGAAAGGGCATTATTCTGACTGGCTAAAATCAGCAATTTTCAACTGGAGTGCTGCAAGAATTTTTAAAGCATACAATACCTGACTGTTTAGTCGGGGGCACTGACCTCTTTTCCCTCAGACCGTCAAATTAAAAAATGACAACAGCAGCCACCAGTGTGAATAAATCAAAATTATACCTGTTTTTTGTCAGATTGGCAAAATATTATATGTATTTTTTGGTGTACTGCAGAATTCTAATTACTTTAAGTGTGCCATGAGATGAAAAAGGTTGAAAACTGCTTGTCTAAATCACTGTGGCAGGGCCCCCGTGGAGACGTGCAGATGAGCCCCAGAGCCACGCGAAGGCCCGTCACCGGGATGCACAGGAGCACCCACTAAGGGCGGGCGCAGAGTCCGCAGGGGAAGGGCATGGCTGTGTGCAGAGTCTGGTTACAATGAGCAAATAAGTAACTATACAGAGCTTAAAAAGAGCCACTGTCGGGGAAGATACTTGTAAATACGGAAAGGAAAGGCTTGAAAAAACTGTGCTACAGTAATGAAATTGGCAGTACTGGTATGAACTCATGATAGTTAGATGGCTAGACGTCTGACAGTTACAGATGCGTGTGCATTTACAGTCAATACATTTCCTAGCTGTCTGAGGAGAGGCTCTGGAGACCCACTGAGTTCTCTGTATCTTCACCTACACTTCATTACACCTTCATGGGAGGTCCTGTCATTTTCTCTTGTGTTTCAGAAATACTGCTGTCTGTCAATGACATTAACTTCCATTATCAATGGATCATTAAAAGAATTTAAGAAGAAAAACTGTGACCAGTATATCCTTAAATAATTTCCTATCCATGCTGATATTAAACAGCATTGTCACTCTTCTTCATTAAAATGTGTCAAAACCAGCTCAGGAAAAGAAAAAAGAACCCAGACAGTCATTTAAATTAGACTTCAAAGTCAATGAATTATCTTGCACCACTGAAAAGGATGTTCGAAGCCCTGGTCAAGATGAAAGCCTGACCTTGTCAGTGACTAGAGTAACAGTAAGTTAAAAACACCCACCTTGATTACAATGTGTCCTTTCCTGGTTCCGCTGCGGTCCAGTTCTCGGTGCTCATGCACCATAACAATTTCTCCCTCTTCCTCAACTTTATGGGTATTTTTTTCCACATGATTTAAAATTCTCCAGTAGTCCTGCTGGGCGATGCAGACGAACTGCCCGAGAATGACATGGGGACAACCAATGAATCTGTAGTACATGAACACATCGCTGCGCACTAAGGCAGAGCACAGAGGTAAGAACGCCAAGGGCATCAGTTCTTCTTTGTTCAATCCCGTCGACCCGTAACAAAAATCAAGATGAAATAAATAATTCATGCACAAAGAGACCAAGAAGTTTTTGAATCTGAATTGTGCTCTAAAAGGAGAAGTGAAAAACTACTCTCAAAACTGACACTATGCAAAGAAAACATGAGGCGGGAGTTAGAAACCACTCACAAGTTCCTATTCCTTTCCTTCATTTTTACAAATGGAAAAGGAGTCAGCTGGCTAATATCAGAAAATTTAACAAGCCAACATTCACTTGTTACACACTCTTTTAAAGGTTCACAATTTGTTCAGTTTCACAAATGTGTAAGATACAAAATCTAATTTCCTTTATTAACTCTAAGCTTTTGAAACTTGCAATTTTCAAAGCCATTTTACTTTAAGGAAGGAAAAACAGGCTCAGCCATTTTACGTCAACAAACAAGAATGCCCGGCCAAAGAGATGAGCTTACCTGACAATCATCCACTTTGGTCCTCACCACTCCATTCATGTACTGCTTATCCAGAGTGGGAGTAATTCCAAAACTATTTCCCATAAAGAGATTTTCGACTTTTCCATCTGAATGGCTGATTTCTACAGTGCCATTTAAAATAACATACCATGAGTCAAGCTATAGAGAAAAAGACAGGTTTTAAGAATCATGTAAAAAAAAAAGATAGTTATATGCTAACTTTGAAAATAATAAATCAATATACAGAACTTGTATAATTAAAACAGATACTCTCATTATATCACTAAATACCGTCACTAACACCTACTGCACATCTATGCAAACCACTGAAGCTTAATTTACTCTTTCTTCTTTTAGTCACCAAGTAAGTTCCAAGACGTCCATAGCTGACCAAATAATGTAATGGTTAAGACCACAAGCTCTTGGAATCTGAGTCCAGACCCTAATACTGACTAGCTGAGCGACCTTAAGCAAGGTATTTAACTTCTCTGGGCCTGTTCCTCTGTTGCTAAAATGGGCATAACAGTACCTATCATAGAACTTTTGTGTTAATTGAAGTTTTACAGATTAAATAAGTGCTTGGAACGATGCCTGGCACACAGCAAGCACCTGAAAGGAGGGAAAACAAAGACAGCTAGTGCTTATCAGACCACTAAAAGCCTGAATGTTAAGGTGTCTCTAATAAGCATCCAAAGTTTTTTTTCCTAATGTTAAGAAAACACTGCCTTCATTCCTATTAGCAGCATTTAATGTTTGAAGGAGACATTCTACCAACGAAAGACCATTTTTTCTCATTCAATATCTAAACTTTCAACAGTTTTAATGGAATTCAAGGGAAATTTGAATGATTAGTTCTGAAGGAGAATCACTGGTGATAATATTTTTTCAAAAGTGTGTTTTTCTATTTTCTATTTTGAATATAAACCATATTCACGTGGATTACATAAATTGAGGACAAGGTTGGTTTTCCCACCACTATACACAACCTGTGTCTAAATTAGCACCTGGCACAAAGTAGGCCTGCAACAAATTTTTGCCAACAGAACTGTGGAAAATAGAATATAAGAATTTGTGAAAAATAGAAAATAAAACTGTTTACACAATAGTTAAGAGTTTACCTCTCTCCTATGTTTGTATTATTTTATATTGTTGAAATATTAAGACTATCCAGCCTTTTAAAAGCATTAGCACCTTACTCGTGTGTTCATCAGAGTTTATGTTTTTAGTATATCCTGTGTGCCAGATATGTTTGAGGGGAGAAAGTATGTAAACGGAGGTCGAGATAACACCTGCCTTTCATAGAATTTCCATTGAACTTTAGAATGACTTGCATACCTCCATAACAATATATGTCATGGCTGTATAATTTAGTGAACCACTGCTTATAATTGAGATAGCTTTTGTCATTTTCAATTTCCATAGGCTACAATGATCGCCTTTTAGCATAAGTCTCTGAGTTTGATATTATGTCCAAGGAAAGGCACTCAGTAAAGGAAATAACAGGTTAGAGACGGTTGATACTTTGATCTCCATGTTAAAAATTTCTAAATGACTTTCCAGAGATACTACTGGTAGTACATAATGGTCACCGACTAACATCTCAGCATTAATTTTTATCAGTTTGATAAGAAAACTGGTAAAGTACTTCCTAACAGCAATACCTTTCAATTTTGCTGCCTTCTCCCTCTGCCTACCCACAAGCTGGCGCTGGGCATTTCTGAACTTGGAGTGGCCCCAGAAATGCCTCAACCGACAGTCCACCAGGAGGCACGGGTATCGGTACAGTTCCTCCAGTCCTTTTTGTTTTTACATGTGTAATATACAATAGGGTAAGGAGACCTGAGTATATACCTGATCAACATTTTGAACAATAACGATGATATAGACAGACAGGTAGAATTATTGAGCATTTTTAAAAAGTCTTACAACTTAATTTGAGAAATGAAAACAAATGTGGTTCGATGAAGATTATCTATCAAACATTTATTCTCTGCAAGATCCACTGCTAGGAAATCAAAATAAGACAAAGTACACAGAGCAAAAATGAAAGTAACAGCTTATCTCAAGAAATTATAACTATCCCAAACTCAGCATTCATTAAAAAAATTGTATAAATTTTAAATTAGGATTTACACAAGTTTATGGAAGTTACATCATTCTAAAAACTGCCTCCCCTACTACACAATGTGTAACATTTATTTGCTAACCTACCTCTTGCCCGTCTTCGAGAATTACGGCTCCAGCCTGCTCCACCACTTCAAAAATCATCACCGAGCAGAGTTCTCTCCTCACGCTCATGGTCATGTTCGCAAAAGCAGGGAGCTGGTGCATGAACTCCAGTAACTGCTCTATTGAAACACAGAAATTGTAGTACAGACCATCAAGAACTACTTTTAAAGATGCAACAAAATCTAGAATTCAATGCCTAATTTCCCCATCGACTTAGGAATTTATGCTGCTAAAGTAGAGAAACCAAGATACAAGATGACTGCTGGTTAAACAAAATCAGCTGTTTGGTTACCAGATGTCCTCAGGCTCACATGGAAACACAGGCACACTGGAAGACACCGGAACTCACAACCTCCAAACAGAGCCAGGAAAACACACGGAGTTAGATGAGGCAGGACGGTCTGCCGAATTTCCCTAGTCCGAGATGCCACTCCATGCTGATTAGTACAGTGATGACCTCTGACCTAACAGATTAGTGAAAAAGCTTCCTGTCCAGTTCTTACTGGGTCAGAGTTTTTAAGAAAAAATGTTATTGATAAATGGCAATGATTAATTAGAGATAACAAATATGAATTCTAGTTCAAGATCTGTCACAGTAACAAAAGGTAATTCTCTTTAATTTAACCAACAAATGCTGATGAGTGCCTGCCTTAGGCCATTCCCTGGTACAAATGCTACAGGAGCAATTAAGATAAATATAAGGGAGGGACACATACATGCAGTCAGCTAAGGGCTGAAACAAAAATAACCGTAAGGTGCTATCCACGCAGACAACTGGGCATTAGCTATACTTCAGTTTTTTAAAAGCTTTGTGAAAAACATATAGTATATAATGCTTTATCATTAAAAATGCACTTTCAGTTTCTGTCCAGATACCATTCACAGGAATCTGAAGTGCAGATTATTTCACTCTTTGTCATTAGAGTGATCAGCAATGTTCAGATGTACTGAGTTTTACTCACACAGATCATGGACTATCAGTACTGGCATTTTCTGATTTGAACAACAATGTGATGATTATAACAGGGAAATCTAGGACAAAATCTTCAATGAATCATCACAATATGTAATGACACTAAGTAATCTCTGCCTTTACAGACAACCTTACCATCTTTAGTATTAAACGACCACCTTAAGTATAGTAACTACTTCTGTAAGAAACTGCATAAAAGAAAACCCATAGCTGTAACCAGAAATTATATGCATATTTTTCCATCTAGAAGAGTAAAAATAGGATTTTGACAACACAAAAATTGTTTTGAAAAGCTAATTCATAGATATGGTACAATGATTTACTATGTTTTAAATGTCTTATGTCATGAAGGGGAAAATCACTTTAATGGAATCGAAACTTTTGCTTTATGAGTTTGGGCAGCCAAGATGTGAGTGAGGGCGATCTGGCTGTGTTGGCTGTCACCCTACTGACCCCAGGGTTGATTCAGCTCACCTGGCAGGCCAAGCAGGTGCCTCTCCCTCTCTCACAGCTCCACAACCACGCCTCCCAAAGCTGAGCAGTTGGGCAAAGAGGACAACCTTCCCCAACACAGGAAGACTGTTCTTTGGTCAAAGGTATACAAACACCTGGGCTCCCTGCTACACACCCTCTAAACAAGCTCTGAAACCAGGGCAGCCAGCCTCGAAGAAGGCTCTCAACGATTCCTCCCTCGTGATATGTATGTCCTCATGCACTCCTCTCCCTTCTTACATGAGGGTTGCTGTGTGTGACAAACACAACTTGGAAGAAGTAATGATGTATCACTCTTGAAGCCTGATCCTAAAAGACACTGTGTCACCTGCCTTACTGTCCCTTGGAGTGCTTGCTCTGGATGACTCTGACCGCCACATTTAAGCAGTCTCTGGAGAGGCCCACATAGGGAGGACCTGACTGAAGTCTTGTGCCAAAAGCCATGTAAGGAGTCACGCTGGAAACAGGACCTCTGGCTCAGCCCACCAAAGCCTCGGAGGACTGCCAACATTCCGATCACGACCTCATGCCACCAAGCCAGGGCCACTCAGCTACGCTGCTCCCCAATTCCTGACCCGCAACAAGTAGGAAAAAATAAACGTGTGCTGTTTTTAAGTCACTAAATTTTGGAGTAATTTGTTATGCAGCAATATCGAAAAACCACAAAATTCTTATTGTACACACGTGTGCACACACACACACACACACACACACACTTTCTTACCAATGTCGTCATCAGTTTTGTCTGCAGGTTCTTTTTCGAGACATTCACGAACAAGATCTCGCCCGTGCAGTGGATCCGTTCGATCAATTTCTTCATCTTCCTCTTCTTCGTCTTCGGAATCAACAGGTCCCTCAGGAAGACGGGTTAAATCTACATCTCCTACCTCGCTTTCCGTAGCCTACAGAAAGAAATCATGATCAGTTATTATTTCATGTTATACAAATTATATGCCACAGTCTGAATTAATCGAAACTATCCCTCAATGCCAAATATTAGAGAATTAGGCAATACTTATATTGTGTCAAAAACAAAATGATATTTATATAAGGTTACTCTCTGCCTAAAATACACTCTCATCATTCACTCCACAGGGTGACACGTGGGTGATAAATGTGACGTGGGGAAAATGATTAGGAGACTCAAACATCACTGTTTTTAATGCCTGTTTTAAATATACCATCTCCATCAATGTTTTAATACCTGTTCTCCAAAAAACACTTGTAGTTCTGAAAAGTACATTTCCTAAAACATGAAGTATAAGAAAGATATATTTTACCAACAATCATTTTACAAAATACTTATTAGTCTACCCTGGGGGTTATAAATAAAATATCACTCCTTTATCACCGAGGTTTACAGCCTAGAAGGGCAAACCACCATGTAAATTAAGAACAGAAATGTAACTCGAGTGAAGAGTAGCATTGAGAAATGCTACAACAGACCAACTGTGAGTGACTGAACGGATACTCAGGACTGCCCGATAACTTACTGGAATCTAACACTGGGTCAAGAGGAGCAGAGACTGCTCTCACCAGTCTTTAATGTAAACTTATTTTCACAACTTTGACGCTAGAAATATTAGTCTCAGATACTTGTAAAGGAACTAGGAGGCTTTAAAATAACTAAACAAATAAAATTTTACCCTTTGTGACAGTATGGATGGGCCTAGAAAACATTATGTTAAGTGAAATAAGCCAGTCAGAGAAAGACAACTACCGTATGATTTCATTATACATGGAATCTAATGAACAAACGGAACTAACAAGGAAAATGGGGACAGACTCATAGAGAGAGCAGGCTGACAGCTAGTGGGGAGGGGAGGTCAGGAGTAGAGGGAGTGAGCAAAAAGGACAAAGGACTCATGGACATGGACAACAGTGTGGTGACTGCTGGGGGAAGGGGGGTGTAAGTGAACCAAATGGTAATGGAAAAAATACAATAAAGATTAAAGAATTGTAAATATAAATACAGGGTTGCCCATAACGTTCATTTAGTTTTTTCCATAAAATAGAATATATTTTTTCATTTTTACCAATAACTTTACTGATTTGGATATTTGGAGTATATTGGCTATCTCCCACATGGTATAACATTGAATGTTCTCAATTAATGTCTCGATTTGATTGCTATCAATTTCAACTGGTCTACCCAACCATGGAGCATCGTCCAGTGAGAAATCTCTAGCACGGAACTTCACAAACTACTTCTGACATGCTCAATCAGTAACAGCACCTTCTCCATACACTGCAAAAATCTTTTTTGTGTGTTTTTACGTTTCTTGAAATGATAAAGCACAATATGTCAAAAATGTTGCATGTCTTCTTCATCTTCAACATTAAAATGACTACACAAAAATTCACCAGTTTTGGTTAAGTTTTTTTTAAATGCATGCTGGTATGACAGCTGTCATACTGCAGTCTAACGAAATGGCTGCAACTGAGTGCAACCAGAGCCGTCACACAGAAGAAGCCAAAGGCACTCTGTCAGTATCATTCACTGAATATAATGAAGATGTCTCTTAGGAAATAAAATTTGTCTTGAAGTGGATTAGTTGGCAATATTTCTAAACATTATACTCACTTGATATATATTAAAAAGCACAAATACTGAAGCGGTCTCACACACACACACACACACACACACACACACACACACACAGAGAAATTAAACACTATCTTCAAATATTTCAGTCTCATCTCCTACACTGAATATTCATTGGTTTTGTCTGCCCAGGAGAGGGTACTCCTTCTTTTAAGGAATTCTTGTTCTCCAACTTAACCCAGAGATTGCAGTGGGGGGCAGTGCCCTGCCCCTGGCTACGTAAACTAGGAGAGAAAGGGCTCTTCTCTGGATTTCTGTAACTGAAGTTGGAGGGCAGAGTGTCCTTTTTCCTCTGGTCCCCGAATCTGAAGAATGTGATGCAGAGCAGCCTACAGCCACATGGGAAACTTTCTGTGGTGGGAGAAAATGGAACTGACAGGCAGAGAGAGGGAAAGAGGCAGACACAGGAAGACAGAGGCAGACAGACACAGATCAACAAAGTGACAGAAATAGAGCATGCAGGACAAAGACGGAAAGGGCACTGGCACAAAGAGCGTCTGTGACAGAAAGAATCACAGGAAAGAGGGAGAGCAGGACAGCCACAGGGAGCCCGAGGACAAGAGGCAGACCGCAGACACCTGCAAGTGTCCAGGTTCCCCGAGACCAGGACTGCCTCTGCTTTCTCTGTGGGTCAATAAATTACTCTTTCTCGCTGTTGTTAATTCAAGTTAAGTGCTGATACCCACCAAAGAGTCCTAATTTGTTTTCTAAGATCCTATTTTATACTTCCTTTGTATTTCTGCACAGCGTTAAGTAACAGAATAAATACCCAATTTAAGATCTATGAGATTAGACAATATACAATAATATAGGAGCAACCCTACTACCTCATGACTAGTATGCCCTCTTAAGTTATTTTTTGGCTATGAAACTTCAGAGTTTTAATGAAGTGTATTTCTGAGTAATATATATATCTTCAGAATAACAAACTTGCTAGATTATAATCCTTTTACAAAGACAGCAGTTTTAATCTAAACATGTACATGCAAAAATGATTTCTCCAAAAACCTAACTTACATACACTGTTTGTGAATCCAAAGAACTAGGGTTAAAAAACCCCACTAAAGCAGTATTTTCTACACATTTAATTTTTTTTAAATATAAAAGTTCATTCCTGCAATAGCCTTTTTCTACTTTACCAATTCTTGAGGACAATCTACCATATAAACTTGGGTTCTTAAACCACTGTGCCCTCATCTCGGTCTCAGGTTCCCATCCCCCAACCCAGACTATTTCTACCTAGTCTCATTTCTCACCTTTTACATTAAGTCTAATAAAAAGATGGATGGCTCATAACTAAAAGGCAAGATGCAATTCAGTTATGCAGACTACAGGGAAGGCTTATGGTCATCTGCCTGAGAAGTGAAGACATTTAAGGAAATAGCTCTTTAGAAGTCATACATAGGTCCTAGAAGAAGGCTGCTAAAAGAACTCTCTTAGGGAACATTTATGGCCATGAGCAAAGATTTTAATCTATCCTTACAATTGTCTTCTTTTACCCATATTTTTTCAAAGTAGGATACCAAGAACAAAAAGATGAATACAATTAGTTATGAGAACATACTAAACTGTTAAAATGTTAAGAGTGTACAAAACAAAGATGGTGCCAAAAAAGAATTAAGAATTAAAAAAAAAACACACACACACACACACAACGGTCACCAAAAACAGGCTTGGAAATTTTTAAAAGTTGGTAATTTAAAAATAAGTAAACAGAGTCCAGGGTCTAATTCTCCGGCTAAAAGGCGGCAAAGCCGGGTCTCCAGGTAAAGGCAGGTGTGACGGCCCCAGCGGTAGAGCTCACTGAGCGATGCTTCTGAGGATGCAGTTGCCGGGCAGGAAGTTTACCTCTCTAATAACTAGATAAGAATTTTTTTAAATGTATCACCAATGTCCAGATACTTGAAGAAGCAGGGAAATGTGATCCATAACCAGTAGAAAAATGTATCAATACAAACAGGCCCAGGAATGACAGAGATGATAGAATTAGGAGAAGAACTTCCAGCATTTATTATCAAGAAGTTCAAGGATTTAAAAGAAAATACAAACATAATTAGGGAAAAATGGGACATCTCAAAGATATGTACACTGTATGAAGTGTGAATCTGAAGAAGAGCAATCAAAAAAAGCAAAAATGAAGCAGATAAGGGGAAAAAAGCCAAAAGAAAATTCAACAGAAGCTCAGAGATTCATATGATAATGTCACAAGTTGTTACAAGAAAGGTAGGTCAAAGGCCTGTATTCCATGTTCATTAAGGCAAGCGACACACACACAATCAGAGCCCTGGCCTTTCAACTACTTTATTCTGGCCCCTGGAATACAGCAGACCATCAGGGAGAGTATACTAAATGAAGAAAGTCCAAAAAAAAAAAGTATATTGGTGAAAGAATACGACAAATATTAAACTTCTTCTGTTTTTCCTTTCCTGCAGTATGAACATATATGAATAATATACAAATGTATATTAGTAAATATAATTTGGTGAGGCACACAGTAAAAGGAGATTTTCTGATGACTTGGCAGTCCCCAACTAAACCAACAAAGGATTTCCTTTTCCTGTTTGCACCAGATAAACACGAAGCTACAATAAAGGGAACTACAGGTTAGAAAGAAAAGTTAAACAAACAAAAATCACATTTTCTAATTTAGAGCACATATGAAGCCAGAACCTTGGGCTTTCAGTCCTTCTCTCTTCTGCATTCCTATTTTCAGTGTTTCACTCAACCTTTTTCACGGACCACTTTGTCCTTACATTTCTTCTTTGCCTTTCTGGTTGGGGCCAGAATTCTGCCAAGTGCATCCTTCCCACAATGCTGTCCAGACCTGACCACTCCAAAACCTCTACAACAGGACAGGCAGGTGAGATAAAGCCTCCTCTGCCCAGGAGAACCAAGCTTTGGTTAGTAGTGAGTCTTGAAAACAATACTGGTTTCTGGTTACAAATGCAATTCAACTAAAAAAAAAAAAAAGCCTAGATTACTTCCTAAGAGCCAAAACCTTGCTCGACTCGGCATGAGATACACAAGAAAAAAAAAACTCTGCCCTCTACAAATTTACTATGATGATAAAAAAGGTCAAGTGTATATGTAAGATAACTGTACCAAACAAAAGAATGGAAAGAGACATGGCACACGGGAAACTGCTGTGGGGTTCCAAGATGTGTGAGGGAGGGTAAAGATGTCATCTAGGTCAGCAGTCCTCAACCTTTTTGGCACCAGGGATTGATTTCACGGAAGACAATTTTTCCTCAGACTGGGGTGTGGGCTGGGGGAGACAGAGGGCAGAGCCCAGGCAGTAATGGGAAGCTGTCCGTGGATGGGGCGGGGGTTGGGGGCCCCTGATCTAGGTGAAGCTGCTGGCAGAGCAGAGTGACCCAACGCCTTCCTAGGAAAGGGCAAACACAGTCATGGAATAGATATCATGTTAGTCGTGGACTGCAATCTACACTGTGCAAGTGGAGAGCAGTGGAATATAAACCAGATTTGCAAATTGTGGTTAGAAGGGGAAGGCTTGGAACTGGAATACAAATTTGAAATGAAGAATGTGAATTAGGTAACCATGAAACACTGAGGCTTTTTAAATGAAAGAGTAAAGCCCTGTTTTTTGCAATTTATTTCAGGTGAAAGTTTAAAAAAGACAACAAAGATAATGGGTTTTAACTAGGACACAGATGATATTTTTAACAGAAACACAAAAGACAAGGGGAAGAAAACGTGTGGTTGGCAAAGCCAGATGAGGTGTCAAACGAACACCCCGGGGACACGTGGCACCAGAGGCTGGAGAGACGGGGCAGCAGAACCCTGAATTAGGAGTCATGCTGTGAGGTGATACCTGAATCTATTGTTGGGAGTTTTAGAAACATGTTTACATCTTACATACAAGTGAAAATTACAGGAGGGGAATAAATGTGTGCCTCAGGTTACTTAAAAGCACAGTCATGTGTCACTGAAAGACAGGGGTACGCTGAGAAAAGGGAGGCGATCTGGTCCTCGGGCGGCCATGGAGTACACTCACACACCCAGACCTGGGGGCGCAGCCTACCACACACAGCCTGCAGGCGGGGGAGGCTCCCCACTGCTCCCCGGGGTTCAGGCCAGTGCAGCACATCACTGCACTGAGTACAGCAGGCAACTTGGACGATGATGCTAAATACTGTTATTTGTGTATCTAAACTTACCAGTAAAAATACGACATAAGCATGTGTGTACACACACACTGGGGGTACTGGAGGAGGACTGTGGGAGGAAGTGCCACTGCAGGGAGAGCAGTCCTAGGGAACAGAAGGGGACAGCAGAGATAGAAAGAGATCTGGGAGATAAAGCTCAAGAGCAGAAATAACAGAAGGGTGGGAAGTATAGAGCAAGGTGGAGAGGGGAGGAAGAGAGGGAGGAACTGGACTGGGAGGAAAGATAAAGAGAAATGGAGGGAAGAGAAGTGAGTGAGGCTCAGGAGTGTGAGTGCTTGTGCCCAGGTGCAGGGGTGGCCTCCAGCGCACCTCTCCTCCCCAGCCCTCTCCCCTGGCTCCCTGGCCAACTCTGGGTGGGCACGGGGCGAGTACAGAACATGGTGGGCTTCCTCCTTAACTTATATCACCTGGATCCAGCCTTTTCTTTCAACATCGTAAATGTTATGTGGTGCAGGACTGTAAGTTAGGGAAAAGACACGTGCTTTAGTTCAAGAGCGCACATTTCACATCACAACGTCCCAGCTCTTGGACAGGACTGAAATACACAGGAAAAGGAACCTAGAAAGAAGCACTCCTATTTTGTTGAAGCACTGTTTGAGAACAGATAAAATATTTGGCCCAGGAACATTTGAACATATAAATGCATACTTTTAGCTACATTGAGGGTGATCTGATTAAAAACATATTCACACCAAAACCATTACTTGCATCTTTTTCCCAGACTGTGGTAACTGCTTTATTTGAAGTTTCTTTGAGAACCAAGGGCTTTTATTTTTAAACCAGAAGACATGAGACCTCCCAAGAAGGAAATGCATAGGAGCACAGCCACACGTTTAAAGCCCTTCAACTGCTGCCGGACAAGGTATACAACTGGGAACACACGCTTGTAACTAAAGGTTTAATTGGTGCCTCAAGAAGGCCTGAAGCAGGGAAGAGACTAAGGGCACAATATTGCCTGTGAAGCTTCTTTCTTCTCTGTGTTTTAGTCCTGAGGATCTATCTCACTGCACACATACAATTTGGTTGGTTATCCATCTTTTTAGCTTATCTGTTTTTTTTATTGTAGTCCGGATTTTTTGCATTTTGGGGGATATATTTTATCAATCTATTATTTTTCCTCTTATTCCTTTTACCCTTTAATAATTACTCCCTTAATCTTTCCCCACAATTTTATTCAACTGTACACCCTATTTACATCTTCCTTAACATTTGTTAAATTCAGAAATAATATTCACTGAGAAAAACATGACAAAAGCTTGAACATAAGTACCCACAAACCTACCACCAGTAGACAAACACTGTTACCATTTGGCCCTCTTGGATTCAGACTTGCATTCCATGTACACGGATACCAAATGAATACCACATATACGTAAGTATGAGTGCACAAGTATTTATTCAAAGATTCTGATTTATTTTCCTTCTGTTTTTATCTTCGTTGGTTTGCTTGTTTTTATCTTTATACTGAGTCTATCCTTTGGTTATTGTCCTATGCTCAATGAAAGCCTCAGTCTGAAAATTCTTACCTGTTTTGGCTATCCTTAAAATATTTTTCTTACATTTTTGCATATTTGACTTTGGTATTATGATAATTTTCTTTTAAATTTCTGAATTCCTGTTTTGGTTCTAGAATTTCAATGTTTTTATTCCTTTTATCTGTCCACTCTCCCTAAACTCATTGAGGCTTACTTTTATCTTATTGGTTACCTTGTAAGTTTCAGTGTGCCATCACTTAAATGTCGAGTCCACTTACACGACATTCTGGAAAATGCAAAGCTTTAAGAGCAGAACACACTGGTGGCTGCCAGGGGCTGGGGCTCAGGAGAAAGAAGGGCGTCTGGGCGTAAATACTTTCTGAGCTTTATGGCAGCTACACAAAAGAGGATGGATGTTATCAGACATAAATCACATCTCAGTTAATATCAAACACATGTACACAAATACAACTGATGCTACAGGATGCAGAACTGACACAATTTGATGCTGAATGTGATGGCCAAGGGAGGAGAGCCAATGGTGACATCTGGGTTTCAGGGACATGAAAAGGTGTCTTTTTCCCTATGTAATGGAGGTACTCCTCTGACATGCAGGGCAGCTGGCAAAGATACCTGTCCACAGTTTAATCCAATTTTAAAATGAAACTCTTAGAAGTTGGAATGATGTGTAGAGGGTACTACTGAGGAAGCAAAACAAATGGAAGGCTAGAGCAGGTCAGCCACCTTCAAGGCCATGGTCCTCTTGCCAAAGGCCTCCAACCACACCAGTAGATGTGCTCCAGCCCCAGCTTCAGGTGGGCAGGCCAGCAGGTGAGCATCCTGTAGATGCTAATGTAAGTGCAATGCTTCAGAAGCTCCTCTATGATCTTGCCAAAGATAACTGTGTGCAGCCCTTCACTACTTCACAGTAAAGCACAATGACCCAGAATCTCAATCTGTGATACCCAATTACCCCTTTTCTCCGTCATCTAGCACTCTGTTTCTTGCTCCAAAAAGGTGCCCACGCCTGGCTTAGAAATAGATATGCTAGTGAGACTAGGTTCTCTACAGTCCATAGAGATGTGGTTAACCCTGGGAGGAATCTACAGCCACATCCCTGACTTCATCAGTGCAGGGTCACTCTTCCTCAAAGTTCTTCTCTAGAAAAAACACAGAGTCCAGAGAAGACAGGACTCTACTCTGACTTTTGTGTGCAACGACTGTTATTTCTTCCCTAAGATGATACTTCTGGGGAAGGGCAGAATGCAAGGCGTCCAACAACTACGCAAACACACGTGAGTGCTCCCAGAGCCATATATTGTATTTAACTTCACTTTTAAAATATTTCCTGTTGTGTCTACTAGAAATTGGTGAACAGGAAGAATTTCTTACTTTGTCTATCACAAATCACCATCGAGGGGTGATGGTGATTGCCAGACCAGTGAACTCTGTGCAGAAGACCATGTATAAACCCAACATGGGGGCTTTCTCCACCTTGCATCTGCCTGCAAACCTCCCTTAACGAAGGAATGCTGATTTTCCTAAAATAGCTGAATCTGGATAACTTGGTAGGACCACAGTCTGAAAAATCTTCCTTAGACGATTCTATTTCAACAGATTGGTACTGACTGACCGCATGTGGCCGCTGGGCACCTGAACTGTGGCTAGTCTGAATCGAGACACTGCTGCCAGTTTAAATAAACTCTGACTACTGATGAACTTAGTATAAAAAAATAAAGTAACTCATTCATAATTTTACAGTACTGATTACATGTTAAAATGATACTGTTTGGATATATTGTGCTAAATAACATATATTACTAAAATTCATTTTACCTATTTCCTTTTTTAATGTGGCTACTTGAAAATTTAATAAATCCTTTACAATACAAAAGCAACTCTGATTTTCTTCATGATTTTACTTATAGAAGACTTATACAGTCATAATAAAAACCTGCCTTTTAGCCCTGGCTGGTGTAGCTCAGTGGATTGAGCACAGGCCTGTGAACCAGAGGATCATAGTTTGATTCCCAGTCAGGGCACATGACTGGGTTGCAGGCCAGTTCCCTACAGGCCAGTTCTCAGCAGGGGACGCATGAAAGGCAACCATACATTGATGTTTCTCTCTCTCTCTCCTTCCCCTCTAATGATAAAATAAATAAAACCTTAAAAAAAAAAGTCCAGGCTAGAAAACTGAAAAAAACAAAAACAACCAAAAACCAAAAAATAAAACAACAAAAAACAACCCTGCCTTTTCATAATTTTAAGTTCAGTTGTTTCAATAACTAATTTTTTACTGAAGCAAGCATTACATGAATTCCCCTAGATACAAGAAATTAAAAAGAACACTAGGTTCATACATTGTTGGACCATATTTAATCACCCTTAAAAGACAGACCATTTCTTTAAGTAGGCTTGCAAATTGGACAGTAAGTAAAGCACATTTTCCCAAACACCTTATCCCTAAATTTCAGATCCTACTTAAAGACACGTGACCACCTACAGCATGAGCGCAGGACACCTGGCAGAACACACAACCCCCAGCTATTACCTGATAGATATCAGACAAACTGCTGCTCCCAGAGTCACTGGCGATGCTACAGCCAGACTGACTGGAGGACACGTGAGTCACCTGTGGGTGAGGGCTGTCTGCAATGTGCATCTTCGTAAGATCGGCTGGAAGCTGAAGAAGAAAAATAATTTAAGATATTCTAAATATCAGACTTCTCCTTTCTAAGAGTTCACGACACACTGTTAACTTCTGCAACAAATTTTTGTCTTATGTGTATTACTGTGCAACTTCATTTCTAACCTGAATTCTCTATTCCTAGAAAAACTCCTAGGAAATGATAACCCAATTAGTACTCTGATACTGTTAGGCAAACCTACCATGAAAGCCCACTGTACAGTTTTCAAAAAAGACTACCATCAGTAGCAGCATTTTGGAGGAAACGCTTGCCCCCTCACCAAATCGGCTGTTCCCACCGGAAAGAGAAGGAAAGCTGCTGTGCTCAGGCATGCACACACGCCAATGCAAAACTGTGGCCCACCCCAGTAAAACGGGAACATCTTGGATTAAAGCACAATATCCTATGATCACAGTGCAAGTAAGTGGAAAAAAAAGATAATACAGAAAATGATCATGTACTAGGAAATTATAAAACAGACCTCTTAATAGTTTATAGGTCAGTGAAGTCATACTTGGAAGTCAGCAAATATTTAACCAGAATAAAAGTTGAAAAGCTACATACCAGAACCTATGGAATACGCTAAAGCCATACTTAGAGGACATTTTATAGATCTACTATGTATATTTAAAAAGGCAGCAGAAAAATCAATGTGCTCACTATAACTCTTTACAATAACCATAACTGGTTACAATTAAAAACTAATATTGATGGAACATGTCTCAGCTCAAAGAATTTCATCCCACGTTGTTTCTAGTGTTTAGATACAAAGAAAAAAATATCACATAGGAAAGAAGTAGATGGAGAGGCAAAGACTGAAAATAGTTTTAAAATGTCAGATGTTTGGTTGTGATGTCAGAGGTGAGAGATTTTTCTATACACACTGTATACTCCAAGATGCCTACAGCGATAAGACCAAGGAGAAGAAGGTCATCCGTGAAAGAAACACAATGAACCAAAAGCAGAAGAGCAAGTCTGCAAACTGGCCTGGAAATGATACTCATAACTTACTGAGCAGTCTCCACCCTACTAGACCCTAAAAGGCATTATTATTCTCCCTACTTCCCTGATGAGAACCTGAGGCACTAGGATTGGCAACTTGCCCTAGATCTCACACTCAAGCAAGTAGTGGAGTTAAAGTCAGTCTCAGATCTGATTCTAGTACTCTCTGCTGAACTCAATTTTGTGCCAGGAACTCTGTTGGCAACATAATGATGAAAGCAGATGGGTTCTACCCACTTGGACTGCACTGGGAGCTCAGTACAAGTGGAGAAAGGACACAGATGTATAAGAATGTAGCATCTAATGGAAACAATGATGGTGATTACACAGCTAACGTCTGAGTGCTCACTACGCATCCCAAATATGTAAACTGTGGAAAATATATTTCTAGGTGAAGGAGAAAAGTTGGTCTAAAAGTAATTTCACCTTTATCTACAATATCTAGCTGAAACATTTAATTTTCATGTGGAGAAAGCATTTCTTTATTATACAAATAATCTGAAATATTTTCAAAACTGAAAACAAATATATACATATATATGTGAGAAAATTTTTCTTTTACCTTTTCTTTTAAAAATGGCCACAGAAACTGGATAGCATTGCAATTCTGTAACCCTTAGCAACTATGCCCATACTATACATTCTATGCAGTGTGTCTGGAAAAAGTTCAAGTATTGTTTTCTATGCAGTGTGTCTGGAAAAAGTTCAAGTATTGTTGATATGGATCCACCACTATTTGTTTAGCATTTAACTACTAAGGGATATTAGGGCTGTTTTCTGTTTTTGACTATTTTTTCCTAGCATTGCTATGAACACTTGTGTACAAATATTTATATGGACACACACTTAGGTTTCTCTAAAGTCAATACATATGAATAGAATGGATGGATTATAAGTCTTAAGGTGGACAATATACTTTCACTTAATTTGGATGTACAAAGTTTTTCTAGAAAAAGTCCAGCCACTGTTAACATAACAAGAATGGTTTGTGTAACCTGCCAGACAAGGAGAGTTGACTGGAGTGTGCATGTGTGAACAATGATGACTTCACTGTGCTAGTCAATGGGGGTGATAGACACTATTGAGTGAGCATGTGTACTGTGTGGCCAGCATTCAAAATAACTGAGTAGAGCAAGAAATCTCCATCAAATTTTGTGTTAAGCTTGAACATTTCTCCATGGAAACTATTCAGATGACTCAGAAGGCCGTAGCTGTGGGCAACTGGTGACCAGAAGCCTCATCACAACAACACGCCGGCTAATGCATCACGTCTCATGCGTTGTTTTTTGGCGAAACACAGCTGGCGAAACACAGCTGGCAAATCACCCAGTGACTCAGCCCCCTTACAGCCCAGATTTGGCCCTGTGACTTCTAGCTTTGCCCAAAACTAAAATAACCTTTGAAAGTGAAGAGATTTCAGACAGTCAGTGAGATTCAGGAAAATATGACAGGGCAGCTGATGGTGATTGGGAGAACTGTGTGAGGTCCCAAGGTGCCTACTCTGAGGGGGACTGAGGCATCACTGTCCTATGTACAATGTTTCTTGTATCTTCTTCAATAAATGTTTTTATTTTTCATATTACATGGCTTCTGAACAGACAATGTACACACATACTTTGGAATAAAACTCATGGATATAGTGGGGAAGCAAAGGGGGTGGGAGGTCAATAGCTGAATAATTAGAAAGTAATGTTACACTGTATGTCCCTTAACTCTTCACAACAAACAAGCTTTTCACATAAAATTATCTACTTTAGTCATCAAACAAGCAGGTGAGGTAGATGCTATCACACTAACAGTCGAAGAAATTGAGAATCAGAGAAGTTACAAAGTTGCCCATGATCATATAGTCAGGAAGCCGGGCAACTGAGATCTGAAACCCCCAGGCAGCCTGTTCATAAATCTGTTGCTCTTTCCTCCTAAGTTGATTTTTGATATTAAGCTGGGAGTGTTTAACACCCAAATGTTTCTATTTTCTCTATAGGAAAGGAAACAAAAAGGAAAAGGTTTTCCTCTAATAGAAATTCTTGATTTCTTAAACCATCTCCCTTGTCTCTCAGCTTATCTGTCCCTTTTCCTTTCCTGTCTGACTCAACCAGAGGTTTTACAGCTGACCTTTCACCCACAGTCTCAATCCATTCACCCTCTCACCTTTCCGACCTCACTCACCCCCTCACCTTTCCGACCTCACTCACCCCCTCACCTTTCCAACCTCACTTACCCCATCACCTTTCCGACCCTACCAGGTCTACAAACTTTCCCATTTGCCACAATTCCTTCACCCATCTCCTGTACCTCAATTTCTGGGCTCTGCTAGAGCTTCCGTGTCCATGAGGACTACTGCCAACGTTTTATGTTGGGGCAGGAAAGTTTCTTAGCTAACAGCTTGAATACAGACACATTATGAAAGGACAAAGGCTGCTGAAGACCATGTATACATATAGAGGGAAAGAGATATATTAAGAAGAGGCTATAGGTAGGACACAATCTTGACTGTCAAGCTAGGTATTTTGAATTGGATCCCTATGGGCAGGTTTCTGGCAAATGCCATGACCCAAGAGCTGCTGTATGTCTCAGACAGGCTCAATCCAGCAAAGTGTCTCTGTTGCTGACTCAAAGTCCAGACAACTCCTTGGGGCAACTGCTTTACATGCTCTCTCATCTAAACATGGGAGCCACTTAAGTGACAGCAGCAGGGAAAGAAACAGCTCCAAGAGATTAATAAACCTTGCCAGACATCAGGGAAATAAAATTTAAGTGATTTTCTTTTTCATCACATTGGGGAAAAAAAGGTCTGATAATACAACACATGAGCCAGGCTATGGAGGAAAACAAGAGTCTCATAAATTGGTAATGGGAGCTAGAAACTGGCAGAGCCACTCTGGAGAGCAATTTGAAGGGCAGCCACTTTGGGGAGTAAATATAAGTTTTGTTACCTGTTAAAAATATGTATCTTATGACTCAACAACTCTTCTTCAGATATGTACTCTAAAGAAGCAAACAGGTGAACAAAAAAATGTGTAAGAACATTCCTTAAAAACTATCTGTAATTGTTTAAGGCAAAAAAAAAAAAAATCATCCCAAGTAGAACAGCTAAGCTGTTGTACGTCTATCATGCACAGCCAGGCAACAGTTAGAGGTACGACGCAGACCTGTATGTTCCGGCTTGGAGAGGCCCCCAGGTGTACTGACTGAAAAGCAAGTTTCAAGACAAAATAAGATGCTGTTCATTTTTTTAAAGCATAAGAACAGCACAAGTGTTTTGGGGTAGACATTCATCTAGGTTTGGGGGCAAAGAGTTGGAAGAATACAGAGTATCAGACAATTGAAAGTGGCACACTTGAGTGAAGGAGCAAGACCAGGGCTGGTGGGCCAAAGGGATTTCAGTTTTGTCTGCAACATCTCACCAAACTGTTTTGTTTTCATGGGGAGAAAGCACTCCTCTATTATTACTTCTGGAAATAACTTGAATTTTCTCAAAACTAAAAACAAATATACAAATGTGTATCAGAGAGATTTTTTTTCTTACCTTCTCTCTTTTTTTTAAAGATTTTATTTATCTTTAGAGGAGAAGGGAAGGGAAGGGAAGGAGAAAGTGAGAGAAACATCAGTGCATGGCTGCCTCTCATGTGTCCCCTGCTGGGAACTGGCCTGCAATCCAGGCATGTGCCCTGACTGGGAATCAGGGCAATCCTTTGGTTCACGGGCTGGCGCTCAACCCACTGAGCTACAGCAGCCAGGGCTTATCTTCTCTGTTAAAGATGGTCACAGACACTGGAATGTGTTGAAATTCTGTAACCCTTAGCAACTAAGGACTTTTATAGACATAATATACAATCTAACTTTTTATGATGAAAAAATTAAATTAGCAAGATTCAAAGATGAATGTTATCAGAATGCCTTGTGATAAATACTAATATACTCGATATATAATGTGAAGCTGAGAATGAACACTTACACACTAAAAACAGTAGAAAGCGACTGATATAAATTA